CTCATACTTACTACTTGAATTTAGAATCCTTTGGATATTGCTTCTAGTTTCATTTCAGGAGCTAGTTCTCTTTCTGCATAGACAGCATTATACTTTCACATTCTGATAATTGCACATTGCCCTGTTGCACATAAAGCTGGGAAACAGACGGAATGCTACAGAAAGCATTTCTGATGTAATGACCAAAATTCATAAAGGTTCATCCGAGTCAAGTAGCCAACATCAGTTTTGCTGCAGTCCAAAATTCTGACAAGCTGACGAGGTTAGTAAGAGTATAAACCAAAGGCTATTCTTCCTCTAGGGACTTGATGAGACCATTTCGCTTAAATACAGTATTCATCCTTACACTGTTCGTTTTACCCAAAAAAGGATGAGGTATCTTTACCAAAATGCTAATTACCCACAAAATTTTTCTCTATCTCTGCTTAGTTGTGTTTCTGGTCTTGAAGTGGCTTTGCTGGGATAGAATTAATTTTCTTTATGGCATCTCATAGGCTGCTGTGTTTTAGATTTGAGACTACTCATCATCAGTAGCACAGCAGCATTTGAGCTGTTGCTGGGCGGTGCTTGCACAGCTTCAAGGTCTTCTCAATTTCTGACTCTGCAATTTCAGTGAGTAGGCTGAGGGTGGGAGGGAATGGGGCGGGGAGAGCTGACCCAAATGGGCCAAAGCACTCAAGGCCCAAGGGCCCAAGACTCAATTCTTCCTCAGTTTGTTTTCTTGCAGCATTTCACTGCCCAGTAGCTGGCTGGTGCCAAAATAGTGTGAACCAATAGGGTTTTCTTCAGTGATCTTTGTAAACTAGAAAACATATTGTTCCAAAACCAGGAGAAAATTCTAGCTTACTCAAAAAAAAAATGGTTTTTGTTCTCCCATAAGCATTTTAAAAATCCATCATATTCACAGGACCAATGGGATAAATCATCTATCATGTTTAGACACAAACTAAGCTAATACATACAGATGCTAAGTTACTATGCTATCATCTAGCTAAAAAAAAGCCACCTGAAGCCTTTGTGAAAATTGCTTCAGTGGGCAGGTTGAATGTACAAGTTACCTGCTTCAAAGAAACAGTTATTTCAAACTCAGAATTAAGGGTTTCTCTTTCCCATAAGGCATACTGGGAAGGATGCTTGATACCAAGAGACATGATTGCTCTTGACCTTTGTGCAAACCACTGGGCATAGTTTCAAATGGATATTTTTTCTAGGTTGCCCTTAAACAAGCAAACTAAGGAACAGTAATTTTATATTTGCTTTGAGAAAAATAAGCCCCTAAGATAAAGATTCAAGAAGCTCACAGGATCATTTTCAACCCTGGAATTTGAAAAATAACATCTGTATTCTACTATTAGTCTTTTCCCATTCAAGCATCATCTTTTTTTTACAGAGGCCTATAAATCAGAAAGTGCTAAATACAAGAACTTAGAAGAATAAAATACACACAACAGTCTTTGTCATTGAAAATCACTTTACTGATGTTACAATATGTTAGTAACATTGAAAACCACAGGCATTTGTATTAAATACTCTCAGAGAAGTGGATAGTGTAACGCTGTTATTATTAAAAGTGAGCAGGAATTTAGAACCCCAAATTACAATGATTTCATTTTATAAAAAGCAACATTTTGTTTACCTACATGAAAGCCAGATTCATTCAACAGCCCAATGCCTGTAATGTTTATGACAAAAATATCACACTCAAAGCTAGAAAGTTGTAAATTGCAATGCTTCGTTTTGGTGTTTGTCAAAACATTATGCTTCTGTTACCTCAGATATGATTTTTAAAGGATTTTAACTAGCAAAGACAATGATATGGTGCAGATTGTTGTTTTTGCCAATACTAGCCCAGCCACGGTGGTGAAACACGATTCTTCTTGCCTCTCTCAATAAGGGCTAGTACGAGTGAAAAAATAGCTTTTTTTTTTTACAGCAATGCCCAAGTTAAGCACTAGCACAAAATGAAGATGGCAGAGCCAGTTGGTGTAAACCACCCCAAAACCTTTGCTGAAAGAACCGGTTATACCATAAATAGTGTTTTCTCCAGCAGATTAAAAATTCTGTAATGCTTTGCTATTCTGAAAAAAATACTTTGCATTTATGCAATGATAAAAATAAGTACTGTATTCTATATAAAACATTACCTATTGTAATATATTTTTATCCTTAAGAAAAGAAAAATCAGGTTATATATTCACAGTTTGAATATGTTCTGGACTGTATTTCCAAGCATAAAATATGCAGAGTCTACACAGGCAGTGAGCAAGAGTTCTTGTACCAATAATCAAAATAAATCAGCATTTACTGTTACACAGAGCCTTACAATATTGCATGGTTATCTGCTTGCATCACTATACTTACAAGGTCAGTCAGGCCTATATACAGAATTTCTAACATGGTTGTAAAAATAGACTCTCCATGCTAAAGTTAGAATATATTAGGTCTTAAGGCCTCATGTTGATTTTTTTAACAAAAACTTATTTTTTTTTTACTCATAGGAATACAGAAACAGAAAAAAAAGTTTGTTCCTTTGACATTTTATGCTTTAGCAATTAAAGACAGTGTTAAAGCACCTGTACTTCTCCCTTAGAGAACGTTTCTTTTTAACTGCTGTGTGCTTATTTTCCCAGATTTTCCTCATCTCATTCTGAGTTATATTGCAATTCCAGCTTGTCTTAAGTAGAACAAGTTTTTAAACAGTTTAAAGCTGGCTTAGCTGAAGTGATTTTGATACTGTTGTAGATTGGATTTTAGAGAACTAAAACTGCCAGACCTGGTTAGGTGAGCCAATTTTGAAGCCAGGTACAGCGTCTCAAGGGTGAGCAAATTACCACATTTCTATGTTCTGAACTTATTTTTACTCATTGTTTTGGTGACTTGGCTGAGATAACATATTAATGTTGACTGTTGTAGTGCTTTCTCTAAATAGTTGCAGAAAACAGTTGTGGAATGACAAGATACCACATGCTGGGTGCACAAGCTGCTGTTTCCAAAGCTTTAGTTTACATCAGCATCCATACTTGAGGCACCGGAAATGATTTTCATAAGCTGACTTAGAAAATACTCACATCAAAGGAGTTTCTTGGTGTAGATGATAGAAACTATTAACTCCTTTCCTGTTCTGGTGAAATCACACTTGAGAGAGTCCTATCTGTATTGCAGCTATCAGTTTCACTGTTTCCTTTTTTCTGCTCTATTAGGATAATAGTTAGGCACACGCAGGAACCTTACCCACCATGTAGTCATGGGATTACAACCTCCACATATGTGTGCAGTTTATTTGAATTTGTCTTCAGGAAATGTGATCAAAGTCAAATACCATATTGCTGATAAATGTCATATGATTTGGAAGCCGTGCAAAGAGTGGGTCATCAGCTCAGTAGTCTGATGGATAATCCATTCTGGGAATAAAAAGTCTTCAGCAGAGACCAAAATGCTCAAGTTCTTTAAAAATGAGACAAACAACCTCACACTGTGGTTGATAACAGTGGTCCAAACAGTCCACTGTTATCCAGTGACACTGATACTCAAATAGTTTAGAGACAGAAATGAATGATCTTTAGCCTTGGAGCAAGAGAAACAGGAAACAGCTCAACTTTTAGGTTCACAGACTTAGTGATTAAAGAGGCTTAGCCTTCAACAATGCTAGAAGGTGAGAAAGACACAGGATGGCTGAGCCACCAAGTGGTTTTACCAGCTGTCAGCATGGTTTAACCCCAACCAGTAACTAAGCCCCACACAGCTGCTCGCTCACCCCCCACCCCCAGTGGGATGGAGGAAGAGAACTGGAAGGGTAGAAGTGAGAAAACTCATGGGGTGTCATAAGAACAGCTTAATAATTGAAATTAAATAATAGTAGTAGTAAAAAAAGTAATGAAAAGGAAATTAACTGAGAGAGAAATAAAACCCAAGAAATGCAAATGAAAAGAATTGCTCACCACCAACAAACCAATGCTCAGCTAGTCCCTGAGCTGTGGTTCCCCACTGCCAACCTTCCCCCTAGTTTATTGCTGAACATGGTGCCACCTGGTATAGAATATTCCTTGGATCAGGTGAGGTCACTACCCTAGCTGTGTCCCCTCCCAACTCCTTGTGCACCCCCAGCCCACTCACTGTTGGGGCAGTGTGAGGAGCAAAAAAGGCCTTGGCTATGTGCAAGCACTGCTCAGCAATAACTAACAAATTCCCCATGTTATCAACAGTTTTCAGCACAAATCCAAACCAGAGCCCCATACGAGCTACTGTGAAGAAAATTAAGTCTACCCCAGGCAAAACAAGCACACCAGTGCAAATTGCACGAGATGTGAGGTGTCATCACCTACACTATAGCAAGAGCAAAAGATCATAGAATCATAGAATGATTTGGGTTAAAAGGGACCTTAAAGATCATCTAGTTCCAACCCCCCCCCCGCCAAGGCCAGGGACACCTTCCACTAGACCAGGTTGCTCAGAGCCCCATTCAACCTAGCACTGAACAATTCAAGGGATGGGGCATCCACAACTTCTCTGGGCAACTTGTTCCAGTGTCCCACCACCCTCACAGTAAAGCATTTCTTCCTAATAAGGTGACCAACTTAGCAGCTTTCTGATCTCAGCCAACTCACACAAGAGGAAATTAGTGGATAAATCATTCATGAAAATGCTTTTCAGTAGGAGTGGAAAGGGGACGGAAGAGAACAGGAGCTTGATGAGTTTTACAATAACTTTGCTTACAACAGCTATGTATGGGATTCGCAAGTCCTAAGAGCTAACTGGTTATCCTTTAGGATTATGAAGTCTCATCCTTCTTTCACATTACATCCTATCCTATTCATTAACCAATTCACTAATGAAATTACTGCAAATTTGGTCAGAATTTCTAGTATATGCATGTCTATAGTACTGTATGTACCCATTCTTTGCTCTGATTTTGAAACCAGTTGTCACGTAAGTGTTGACAAGACCAATCAGTCCAAATCAGCAACAGGGATTCGAGTAAGAGGATTTCAGTACACTAGCTATTGACACAAATTCTTTCTGATTTTAATTCAGGATATAGCTCAAAGGTCCACTTGTTCATCAGCACAATCAAAATTATTTCATGAGCACATCAGTTTAGCAGATTGAACATCTCATAAACCAGGAACTCTTAAATCATTTGGAAGAAGCCATCTTCAAAGTAAAGTCACACTTCAAATCAGATAACTGGCAAGTAGTGACTTAAGTTCACAACTTAAGCAAAGGTAGGCTGTACAAAATTAACAATCTCCTTGAATCTAATTACTTAAATATAACAAAATGATACATAAATTATCAGTCACAACCATTTCTGGTATATTGCCTGAGATTACTGAAGTTTTTGAATCAATAAATACAGATATGAGCAGGAAAATTTTTACTTATTAGACTGTGACATCATTGTGCAGCATTATTATTTGGATATGATCTCCATTTTCCAGTCTCCATCAGTTAGTCATACTAGTTTCATTATAAATTACGCAAGATTCTTCTCCCACATTGAAGTACATAAAGCCAACTATAACTCATCCTGCAGGTCCTATGCTCATATGAACAATTATTTCTATTTGAGAAAAACTGATAACATCCCCACTTCAACAAGCATCTGCAGTGTAGCTGGCAATAACTAGTTCATTTGTTAACATTAAAATAAAACAATAAAAGCATGAGTCTCAATGAGTCAAAATTACTGAGCTATCTTAGTGACAAGTACTCTACTTTAGTCTGGATGAGGTATTATGCAGCAATTTTATATTGTTATTGCCAGTGTAACTAACTATAGTGGATAAAAATATTTGCAATCTTCAAGGTTATTAATCTGGTAGCTTTCCAACACACTACATTTTAGAAGTAGGAAATGACAGATTGTAAGTAAACAACTTCTGTCTCCAACCTCCACTGGCTTGGGAGGCTCACACAGCCTTGCCAGTTCAGGTTTTGTGCAACGACAAGGTTTCCCAAGTTACCAACCTGATGGAAAATTCTCTCCAGGAGAATTTTGCAAAAACCCAAATCCTGGGATATTCTCACTCTAGACCAAAGTGAAAGTCAATATTTATTTAACTTAAACTTAGTGCTCATAACTAGACTTCCAGTCACTACATATTTCCAAATTTGAAGGTGACTGTTAAAGGTACACTACACACATAACTGTATCATCATATGCTACAAATGAATTATACCAAAACAAAAGAGAAGCTGGAAGTACATACTACATTGAAAATACAGTCAGGAGAGCCATTTGTTTGCAAAACAAGAAGCTATGAACATTTCACAAAGAGCCAGTATGTTATATCCAGTTATGTCTGCCAAATCTTGCTGCTCCTTGGTAAGGCAAAATGGAAAGGGAAGAGTAAACAGTGGTAAACATAAGATAAGCACAGAAATCTAACAGAATTATTCAAAATAACACACCAGTGCGTATCCAAACAAATACCATAAAAGGCACATGATGAACAGTCCAGTTACTGAAGACAAGATATGAATATGAGAGGGAAAACTAGCTTCCAGGGAACAGAGTAACACAGCGGCTAATGTCCTAATGTGGGTGAACTTCTTGAGAGTCCTGCTTAAAGTCCAGTGAAATCAATAAAAGACATACTGATTTCAAGTTACTATGGCTGAGACCCTAATTTCATGAGTTACATGCTACCAACTATCTTTAATCCAGTTATCTATACTCAAAGTAAATCTTTGCAAAAATATTCTTCAGTGCTGAGGGATATTTACCTTTCAAAAAAGTGCAGAACCTTTTCCTAAAACAATTACAAGTGACTGGTTCCTTCCAGATGGTCTGTCTGCACCCACTTGCACTCACTTACATTTGTCTTTTTCCAAAATACTTACCAGAACCTGTCAGCTGTGAAGGAAAATCATTTGAACACCAAAGCCAATATTTTGTCATAATCCAACATACAGCCTAATCATAAAATATAGTGCTTCTAAAAATCTTACATACTTTACACTTGCTGACATCTTTAAACATTTCTTAGTTGAATCTTATATATATCTAACTTTACTGAGAGACGTAAAAGTTAAAAAAATATATTAAAAGGTTGCAAGTGTTGGGTTCACTTATTAAAGGAAATACATGAAAGAGGTAGAAGATTCAGAAACACCATAGATGTTCCCATTACAATAATATCTAATTGATCATACTGCTGTTGGGCAAGGTATTCAACTGCACCACAGAGTCAGGTGTTTTATTCTGCAATGGTACTACCCAAAGCTAAGAATCGGTCAATTTTGGAAAGCCAGAGAATTATACATTGATTTAATATGGTCCAGTTCCTTTACTAACTGAAAATTCCCAAACGGAAGATATTTGTTTTACAACAACCTTTAGAAGTCTCAGGTGTTAGAAATATAACCATCCACTGACTCAGGAGATTAACATCTCCATGGTAAAGGGTTTGTTGCCCTCCATTCTGTTCTTTTTAGGCTACACTCACTTGTACTCAGTTTAATGCCCCCAAAAATGTCAAGGGGTCTTCAGGGGCAGCAAGCATAGCATTCAAGCGCATGGTAAAGGTGATTCCAGTAACAAAAAAAATTAAAAGACAGCAATGAAACTGGCCACTTGCCCAGCACTGTTATTATCTAGTGCAGTGAAATCCTTATACTTCTCATAAGCTATGCCTTGCCATCTAAAACAGTGTCTGAAATGCTCTATCAAAAATACACAGCAACTCTCACCAGAAAGACTTCACATCACCACATCCTGAACTGACTACTTAGAAGTATTCCCAAATGTCCAGTAAGTTTGGGTTGCACATGACTTAAAGACTATGTTGTTTGCTGAATCATTCTTGATTACACCTGTGAGAGGATACAGTGGTCATCTCACTGAACAATGGATTTTGGCTGGTTCCTCTTATGATGATTTAGGACAAAGTGCTGCTGTACCGGTTTCTGCAGTCTACTGTACAACTGAGATTGTCAAGACAGTATAAGATGCTTAAAAATAGTACAGATTTTGGTCAAACACCAGTTTCTGAGAGACACAGTTTTACAGTACTGTACTTTCAGTATTTCCAAAGATGTCTGCTCGTAATATTAGAAAATCTGAAGTGTGATGATGTTAGTCATGACTGTTTCTTTAGGCATTTGGCAAAATACACTTACGTATAACAGCTATTTTTGACATTATCAAATGTTTACATATATACAATCTGTATATTGAGATTATAAACATGTAAGATTAAAAAAAAAGAGATATGATCCTTGTTTGTTTGACATTTGTGTCAAATAGTTCCCTTTCAAAGCTTGAAATCCTGTCACAAAAAAAATCCTATATTTCTTACTCCTGCATGCTAATCTCTACTACAGCATGTTGTTTATCCCTTACATGTGGAAAGTAAAGAACACAAGGTTCATGCATACAGTGTACAAGTTTACATCGTCTGGGCTCTCCGGGAGGCACATCCCCAGTTCCATTTTGGTCTGACTCGGGACTGCAACAAACCAGAGAAACACCTCTCTTATTCAGGACTGGCAAATGGACTGCAGTTGGGATTCTAGGTAAGTGTACCTGTCATCATGCGGCATAGCCTTGTCACATCCGGGCTAATTATCCTCTATTAATTGTTATGATTTTGGTTGTTCATCAAATCCGTAAAATACTAGTCAACAAAAAAGAAAAAAAAAAAGACAGTTTTTTTCCCTTCCAGATGAGAGGAAGTTCTCACTGCGATCACGGGCATCTCTGTTGATCTTTCAAATTGTCTGAAGAGCAGATGAATGTGCAATGACTCAGTGATGCTGAGTTTCTATAAAATCCAAAGTAAACAGTTCTGATGTGACCCCAGGAAAACAGTGCAGCTAGATGGACGTCTCCCATAGCTGGAGAGGGGGAAAAGGAACACAAACACACATGGAACACCAAGATAAAACAGGCTGTTACCCAAACAGTGCAAGGAGCTTGTTTGGGGAACTGCATTTAAATCACTTGGGTTACCAAGGCTATGCTCTTGGTCTCCTCTCAGCCTCTGGTGGGTATCTGTTCAGACCACAAAGTCAGCGGACAGTCTCAAGCATTTTAGCATGACTTGCAGTTGGCATAGTAAATGTCCATGGCTGGGAGTGCAAAGTGTTTGAAGGAAAAATGTCAGTGTAGCATCAAACTTGTACTAGACAGCTTTTACCTTACAGTTACACTAACTAATATTAGTGTAGACATAATTTCCCATTCTTTTCTGCCCAACTCTGCTCAGAACAGCTTGACTTTCTGCTGTGCGTTTGAGCTGCTGCCAAAGCAGCTCCAGGCCTGCGACACATCAGTAAAGCCTGGCCTCCAAGCTGTGCTGACAGACCCCGTGCTGCACCTCACACACTTTCTGCCCTGAGCAGCACCGGGGGTAGCAGCTTGCAGATTCCCTCAGCAGCACTCCACTCTTTTTTTTCTTGACAAAAGAGGGCAGAGAACAGTGATGAGCATCAGCAACATGAACCAAAGGTATTACAAGTAAAACTTCTAAAGCAAATTTCAGGGCTTTTTTGCTTATTCAAATACCTGCTATGTCTGAATTAACACAAAGGAAGCAAGAGCTAGCACTGCCTTTTGGAGCAGCTGGAAATCTCTCTCTATGGATAGATCCACCCACCACACATTCCAGCAGTTCCTGCTCACCCTGGGGGGTCAGGGTGGGGCTCAGGTCACGCAGTAGCAAAGTCCCTCCAGGTCTGCAATGGCTTGGTGCAAGCCCTCCACATGCTACATAACAGGAACTTGGTTACTTTTCTATAAAGCTGGAAAGCAGCTATCCCCCGAACTTGAATGAGAGTTGCTGGGAGAAGGGGAAAGGAAGGAGAGCCAGACACACCACTTGCTCCAGGGCTGCCTGTCCTCTGCACCCCAAAGGCTGCCCCAGGCACTCTCTCAGCTTGAAATAAGAAAAGTAGTGAAATATGGGCTTCAGGGCAGGTTTAAAAGCAACCTGAACACCTCTCTGTAAACACAGCCACCGAGGCTGCCTTAATGACTGCCAGAGGCTCAGCTTTCAGCAGCTTCAGAAGTTCAGGGTGCAAATGAAATGCCACTCTTGCTTTCGCTGCTAGTCACAGCTGTTGATCTGCTCACTTTCCTTTCAAAAAACTACCAGTAAATCAAGTCACTGATAAAATGGAGAGAGAAGAGGGATACATACCCTGGCACTTTGCCTGTTGGCTTTTTTCTCTTCATCAGGAAGTGGTGGCATCGGGTAAGGATATTTTCTGCTGGAAGCAATAGATCCAGTGGAAGAAGATGGAGACTTTGCAGGAGACAGTGTCCTGAGATGTTGAAACACACAAAATAAATGTGATGCTTTTGCACTCCAGCACTGCAACAGCAACTGCCATTACTCTGAAGCTTGGTTCAGAACCAAGTATTTAGCTTATTATTGTCTCAATCAGGGGGATAAAATTGCTTCATCAGAAGTCTAATAATTTCATTATATGAATAAAGGTATTTATAGATTTCAGGAACACTGGAAGAAAAAATAAAATTTGCTACTTCTTATTAGAATTGTATTGCATAATAAAAAGGATTTCTTAAACTGTTTTATACAGTACTGTAATTATTAATTATAAAATTAATAAAACGAATCTGCAGTTGAATAAATACAGAACTAAAAGATATTATAAGGCCTAAATAGAAAGAGTAATTGTATAAATAAAAGCTGAACAACATCTTCTGCCAGTGACTAAATGGTAATTATCAGCGTCTTTATGGATGTATTACACATCTCCTATATTGATACAAACATAGCAAATAAATCTATTATTTTTATAACACATTAAATTACACAAATGCATGCACTTAGAGGCCAAACTGTTAGTTGTGAAGTAACAAAGGCATATACAAAGTGCTAATAACAAATTATTATACATGCAAGCATCATACAGTGCATATTGTTCCAGCCAAAGAAAGAGTCTGATGAGAATATACAAAAATGGACTGATTAGTCAATGGCAATCAGCATTTCTGTACAAGGTGAGTAGAGTAAGCAGGAGCAAGTAAATGTTTGTATCACATGAAAGGCATTCTTTTCATGTCAATAAGGCAGCAGCACATTATTGACTGAAATTTTATACCCAAGAAAAACTCTTATGCTTCTGTTTTGAGATTCTGCACTTTTCCCACTTAAGAGGGTTCTATCTAAATGAGAGGCTCTAAATCTGGGCAGAATAAAAGGGAAAAAAAATCCTCAAAGTAGAAAAATTGAGCTACCCTTATGTTCTCTTATGCAGACCAAGGGAGGCCTCACACTAGTGCAGGCACATCAACCAGACCCTCCCTGAACACCACTACCTACTATCTTCTGAGTTTAATGCATCCCTGAAGATGGAGGATTTCCCTCAGTCCCTACAGACAGGTCTTCCAAGCCCCTCAAATGTAGAAGGGGGTTGCAGCGTGCTGTGCAGCTGTAGACCCCAGTGATGAGCACTATTGCCAACATCACTGATTCCAAGGAATCACAGGAGCGACCCCTGGCAGACAGCCCCACATGCCTGGCTCTGGGATGTAAAGGATCAGGTCCTTTCATCTAGAGAGGACTACAGACAAGGCAGGAACTCTTGTGCCTGGAATTGTTTTGTATCTCTATTACTAAGTGAAATTTATTTACTTTTAAATAATTGTATTTTTTATTCTGGACTAGTGTATCATTTGGTTGTGTCTGCAGCTCGCTACAACAGCACACTCTCTTGCCTCCCATACAAACAATGACTGATGGTAGCCACGAGCAACAAGGTGTCAATGGAAATTAAATGGTGAGAGCTCTCCAGTCTGGCTTATGATCCTCTAATGACTCATATGGTAGCCTCTAAGTTCAACAGCACTTAAAAGATTTGGGTTGGTACAATTATCCAAACGTGGAAACGTACATCTTCAGTACATGCACTTTGATCACCCATTAAGATGAAGTGGACATACATTAATGTTTTCAGGAAAAAAAACTTGAAACAGTTACTGCAGTATAAAACAAGGTTTTCATATGTCCAGCATCACAGATCTGGGCACCAAACTGTGCATGCAAGAAAACAGGTTAATTTAAAAAAAAAAAAGAAAAAAAAATCCAGAGAAACCTTCTAAACAGTGCCCTGCTGTTCACTACCCATACAAGTCCTCTCATCTCTGCCCACATCTGGACTAATAACAATCGCTGATAAACTATTGGTGGATCTAGAATTTTAAAAATAAGGAGAAGAAGAAGGGGAGGGGGGAATAAGGAGAGCAGATTTTAAGTATTATTAGTAATCCAATTATTCACAAATTTTGCCCCACTGTTGCAGTAGAATTTAAAATTTTCATATTAAAATTTATAACAGTGCACTTGGAGATCAGAAACAAGGAACTGGTGTTGTGAGATGTGACTTGGAAAACCCTATCAGAAAGCTGTTTATAATGGTACCACAGCTAGGAGGTGGCATGAAGAATGAAGGAATCTCCATCTCTTGGACCACAACCAGGCACAACATCACCTCCTGCACATCACCGGTTCTTTGTGTTTTAAACACAGTAAGAGAAGGCTACAGTGAGAGGAAAAGCCATGGCCAATCTACCTGTCCATCAGTCTGAGCAGGTGATCCTGGAAGGAGCAATAATCCCCCAAAGATGGGACATCTTGAACATTTTCCTTGCACAAAGAAGGTCCTCTGACCAGGATCTCTAACTGAGCCTTTAGCCAGGCAGCTTTGCACCATAACCCAAACACAATGCTGTCTTTTCAAAAGATTTTGAAGGCCAGACCTCCAGTGTGGCTTCCTACACATCCTTCTTCTCAAATCCCCGTGGCACTGCCTGCTCAGCTGTGGTTTGTCATGTCTAACTGATGTGCACTTTGCCGTTCACCTGCACCTGCAAAGCTACAGTCGAATACATCCAGAATGCAGTTGCACACTTACAGAAATGACCTTGCCCTCCCTTCACAGGGCCTCACCACTTATTTTTACTACAGAGTTATGTGCTACAGTTACATTGTCATCTTTAGTGCCCCCTACTGTGAACATAAAGGACTCAGAGTATGCTCACAGATCTTACAATGCATCTTCTGTGATAAACGTAGTTGTTTGAGGCGGTTTTGATCACCTTTCAGGTTAAGCCCTGCAATTGTGTATGTGCTGTGTATCCCAGATTTACGTATACTTTAAATGAGAAAGAGCCAGTCATGACCTTTCTCATTTACAGGATGCAGAGACAGCATTCAGGGACACTTGCAGGTAATGCTGGGGTTAAAGGTAGGCAAAACTTGGCAGTTTTGGTCAAGGGTGGGATCCATTTAGCTTTCCCTAGGGTTTTAGTTCTGCTGCAATCAAATCCATTAGCTTTCATGCCAAATGTTGCCTCCAGCTAAAACTTATACAAGACACCAGTACCACATCACAACAGAGATTGAGAGGTTTAACTGCCACCCCCAAATGAAGCCATGCACCTCAACGTGCTACAAAAAAATCTAATTTCTGAACAGAAAGCAAGATGCAGTAGCCACTTTGTGTCTATCTTTCTGTTCTGGAAGGTGAAACTAAGAGTGTGGGGAGATCACACTGTGATTCACAACAAAACACTGTAGCAGCAGGAAGACACCCAGCAGCCATAGGCTGCCTGCTCTGCCTCTCTTCACCTAAACAAGGAATGTTGGCCCACAAGAAACAGTGCAAAATGTGTCACCTGGTCACACAACCAAACATTTTGCAATTTTGAGTGTTGTTATAGCTGAACTGAAGGCAGGTGGCTCTGACTGATACGAAATATTCATAAACTGTGATTGATTCTCTTTCTCAGACTGAAATACTTTAGTTAAATTCAATTAATATTCAACCTGGTGAAAGCATTTCAAGACCATATATAGATACTGTCAGCCTAACCTGACCTTTGCTGCCATGGGTAGGTCTTTGTAGGACATCATCAGCCTGAATTATCCTACATTAGGAAGTTAGGATCTTCTAGAAACACTGGTGTGGCTAAACGTTTTAAATTAAGTTCCTTTTAAAAGCCACAGATGTGCACAGAGTTCCTCAGAAAGACCAGAGGGGAGAGGAAGCTCAGGGGTGGCAGAAGAGACAACAAACTATAGCTTGAGCCATCACTTTGAGCACTGCACATCAGTGCCCCAGAAGCACACATTCACATGCTTTAATGAACTCTTCTCCCTAACTCTTGAAATTAAATCTGGATCCTACTGACATCAATAGGCATATTTTTCATCATCTGCCAACACAGCCACTTTGCTTTACTTGTAATAGGGAAAAGTTTTGTGGGTTTTTTCTTTAAGCACAGTGTAGAACTGCCTCAGCAAGAGAACGGTAGATAGGGGCTGGTCACAGCTCTGGCCTCAGCTGGATGCTCATAGAGGAAGGCAATGGAGCTGAGGAGGAGCTGAGAAAAAATCAAGGACACAAAAGCACATTAAAATAGGAGGGAAACGGCAGCCTGCTGTCTCCTGCCTTCCATGCCCCTTCTCAGTGCCCTTCTGACATGGGATGGTCATTTTCCTTCTAGTTATGTGTGATGGGTCTCCATCTAAAAAAAAAAAAATTATTTCCTGGTAAACTATTTTTTATATTTAAACAACCCTAATAAAATAGAAGTTACTGTAAATATTTGCATTAAATCAAATGTAAGCAGCTCAGTGCTTCAGAAGGTGCCTTCTAGGTTTTTTTGTTTAAAATTATCTACAGAAATGCCACATCTGGAGATTCTGGTAGTTTGTTTTCTGAGACCATCATGGCTCCCAAGTCTTTCAAGATTCAACGAGAATTTTGAGTAATCCTTAAGCACATTTCACAAAGCCAGCCTGTGCAGTGACTGTAACTCTCAGTAACAAGAAGAGGCAGTCGCAGCACATTCATAAAATAACATCCCTTGCAGCAAAGCCAAAATCAGGGAAAGGCTTCCTTCCTGGGTTTATTGCTGGGGTTACGAGCGTGTAGCCTGACAGGAGCATTTCTCAGATCGAAGTGTGGTCTGGCGCAAGGGCAGGGGATGCACCACCACGCACATAAAATTAAAACTCAGACTAGTCTTTGAGCAGGAAAATGAGATTTTTCTTCAAAGATCCTATTTTCTTACAGATAGGAATCCCACACCTGGGAATTTTCTGGCATCAGAGATGCCAGCTGCTATTATTACTATCATTAAAAAAAGTAATTACATAGAAATAGCCATCAGACTTGTAGACTAGAAAAAAAACCCCTAGAACATCAGGTGTTAAAAAGACAAATTCTGATTTATAAAGGTTTTTTTAAGCAGATGGAGAAAATCTTTGTAATCTCTTTTTTATATCTTTTTAATATCTCTATTTTCTGAAAATCTGCAACATTCCTAGGAATTGTAAGAAGTTGTTTTGTCTTTTCTCCTCATTCTACTTCGACTCTTCCTACAGCAGCACCAGTCATAGCATATTATTCCTAAAACTATAGGGAAACAAGCAAACCAGCAATGTTACTTTGAGGACTCCTTTGAAAGAACAGAGAAATCAAAGACAATAAAAAAAATATTCCTCAGTCAATCACCTGGTGTAAATTTCCTAATATAGGGCTGTGACTCCTAAAATATGGAGCTGGACAGTCTGACTTTAGCCTGACTTTCTGGTTTATCAAGCCAGATTAGCTTTGTTTTGTTTGCAAATGACTATACAGGCTCAGGCTCAACATCCAGCCACGGAATGTTCTGACACACCATTCTTAAGCAAAATTGCACCTGAGTTTTAGGGAGAAAAAGTTCAGTTCAACCTCGCGTAAACTCATTTCAGGAGAGTTGATCCTTTGCCTTCCATAATGTGCCCACAGAATACTTCCCCATGATTTCCTCACTTAATTAGGACATACAGGTTTCTAAATTTATTCTAGTTGCTTTCTCATTTCTAAAGCTAACTGCTGCAGGCAGTGATTAGTAAGCTTCTATGGTGTAAAATTTTTAATTTATGTTTCATCTCTGCTGATATACAGCTTTAAAATTCACATAGGTCAGCTTAATCCTTATCTACATTCCAAAGATGCTTGGTTTATGTCAGATACAATTAGAAAAATGACTCATTCAACATAACAGCTGAAGACCCTCGGGGCAGGGTACATTCTCATCAATTTAATCTAGTGATATAAATTGTGATATACTGATATTGAAAGATGAAAACAAAATTATAAGTGTGCACACAAGATTTTAAGCCTGTTTAACTAAACCATTTAAAGTAACCTATTTTCAACTAGTGCTATGTTCATATTCCATCAATGTCTTTACTTATTGTGACCACAGGGTGTCCAACACAAAAACCCTGAAAGACAAATATGGGATTAGGTTATGGTGGGCAACTCTTGACTTTGCCTGAACAATAGAGGTCAAAAGGGTATTTTTATGAAAAGGTTTGCTAATAAAAATACATCTCATTTCTCATGTGAGTTTGCCTAATTTCACATTCCAGTGACCTTTGGTCATTATCAATATTAGTTTCCTAATCTAAAGGACCCACCACAAAGATTTTGCTCCATATGCAGCTATGAGGACTTCATGATCAGGTAAGTGTTCAGTTGCTCCATTAAACTGAACAGCTTGAGGCCCTGCAGTCCTTTCTGTGGTTCCACTGGGCTTAAATCTCCCCAGTTCTAGAACATGCTTGATGAACCGTGGACACCAGAACCTGTCCCTGTATCTCAGTGCTAAATCGATCAGATTCACAATACTTCCTGCCTGAATGTCCAAGCACCAACAAAGAGATGCAGCTGATACTGATGGGCACAATCACAATCTCCTGTAAGCCTTGCATTCTTGCATCAAGGATCTTTACTCCCTGTTCAGGACCGAGATCAGGACTGAGAGGCTTGAGTTTACCCATTTTCCCTATTCACTGGAAAGCTTTTCTGTGGCTTACTCTGTGATTTACTAGGTGCTGAAAGCAAACACAAATGGTTTTAAAAAGTAACCATTTTATGGTCTTTTAAGAATTTGGGACATTTTTAGTTCTAAAAATGACTAAATTCCTACCCTGATATTTGACGTCCGCCACTGTTACTATTGGAAAAAGAGTTTCATTAGTATCTTGTGACACAACTCCATCACCTTTTTTTCCCAAATGCAACTGGACATATTAAGTGTCTCTTTCTGCCCTTTTGCATTATTATCAGGTCTACTTGTGTAGCAAAAGATTCTATTTACTTGTTCTTACCATCCTTCAATGTTTTGGCTAAAGATTTTGCTTGTTACTCTCTTTTCCTTATGTTTCTATAATTCTTTCAGCTTCATTTTGGTATGTCAGCTTAGAGCTTCCTGGATTTCATTCATGTTTTATGTTATTTGTCTTAAATTGCCTTCCATTCTCTCCTATGTTAGCTGATCTTTTCAGCTGATGCAGAGATCTGTCGTTCTGTCTAGGCTGTGGGATAGTGTCTTTTGGGAATCTACTGTAATGTTCTCAGTCTCCAGATTCATGTCCAACAGGGAGGCCAGCCTCATGCACGCTTCTTCTCTTTAACTTGTAATGTATAAAATAATACACACTTTTCCCTTTCAACAACAAGTGATATTTTTGACTGAACCCTACCGCACTTGTAACAGATTCATTAGCGGTTTGATAATTAGAGCACAGAGTATATTCTCATACATTTAGCTTTCCAATTACAATATATAAATTATTTCATTGTAGGCTGAGGGTAAAATACTGCTACTTTTTATTCTTTTTTCATTTAAATTTTGGTATGCACTATATAAGACAGTGGGTAGAGTCAATGTGTTATGAAACCACTTGCTTCAGTAAATTAACATTCTATTTAAGTTAATACTACATTATTAGTGATAAATACGTCTCATGCCCATAAAACACTACTTGGCATAAAATGATGCAAAAGCTACTACAAGCTACAGATGATGGTGGGAACGCATGCACTACACACACCCTTTTCAATGGCTTCATTAAAACATTCAGAAAAAGAACTGTAAATTGCACGTGAAGCCAAAAACAGACATCAAAATGCAGCAAAAGAAGAGGGGCCCTTTGCACCTAGAGTAACTTGTATTGATTTATACAAGGTAGGAGTCCCAAGATATTTGTATATGCTGGAACAGCTCTTAAAAATGAGAATTATAGAATTAATTTACAAAATACCTAAAGTATGGTCCTTCAGTGTTTTTATTCACATCTTCTACCCACTTAGCTACATTATATTCTCTTTTGAACCATGGGTTTAAATACCTGCAGAAAGCAATGGAAGGAACAGAGAAAGCAGAAGAACAAGAATAGAAAATCTGAGAACACACAGCACAAGCTTAGCAAGGATGTCTTCATCCCCAAAATGCAAGTGAATATGGCAAATAAATCAGAATGAATGTTGGGTGAGGACTAGGCAACGTGTACAACTGCATGAGAAAATCTGACCTACAACAAGACTCATATGTTTGATTAATCTGGAAACTCTTTGGGATACACCATTCATTTAAGGGTAAAATTCACTCCTATGCAGAAGGCCAGCATTAAGCTCATGGTTTAACTCTCCTCATGATCTCAGAATAAGGATGAAGGGGCATTTTGGCTCCAATCATGCAGTTTGCTTGTTAAAGACACACTTTTGCACTCATCTAAAATAAATTGCAAGATAAGTGCTAAATGAGCACAGAATCTTCGGCTTGACCCTTTCTACAGGAATGAATTTCAGCCTCAGTTTGTTAAAAGGCTTGAATTGTTTGCCACTACAGTGACAATTTTTACACTTATATGCAAATAACCCTCTGATTTTTCAATGTTCATTTAATTTGGTAGGATCACAAGAAGCTTTAATAGAGGTGGGCTGCAGAGTTATCTCACATTTTACAGAAGCAATCTTGATACCAAAACCACACTTTATAGGAAAAAAGTCTGAGCTGCATACTCATATTAGGTACATGAAAATTATGAAATAAAGATGTTTAATTATCTGACAGCAAATTACTAGGGAAGAAGAAAATTTTTTTATAATAAATTTTCTCCAGTAACAAGATTAGCAAATTCCTCCCCCTCTGTCATGTTAAGAAAAAAGGGCAATGCAGAAACAGAAGTCTGCCTGGTCCAATTTATTCTTGTTATATACGAATGGCAACAGTTAAATGATTATTTGTGATCACCACCTTTATATAACAGAGACTAGCACAGTGAAATAGGAAACAAATTATAACCAAAGAAAAAGGGAAAGAAAATTCCTCTTCAAGTTATTGTTGATATTTCTGGTCCAGTTCTTCCCACCCTTATTTGTGAGATTTACTCCAATGACCTCACACACGGGAACAGGCCTCACAAGGGATTGCTCGGATGAATAAAATCGGGCCAAATCATGTCTTTCAACCCCCACCATATTTCAAACCATGTTGACAACAAAAGCAGCAGCACTTTTTCAACTTCTTTTGCTCCTTTTTTGCTCTGGAACATCTCCTCCCCGCCCTGCGCAAGCACAGCCACAGCTCTCAGAAAGTACTCGCCCTCAGCCACAAGTGCTTCTAAGTAGCTTCCTCAGCTCACTTATTTATCAGGAATCGGGAGTGCTTTATGCTTTCCAGCTTGGGATCTTAAGAGAAAGGAAATGTCAAAAGTGGTAGCGCAGCAAAACAGATGAGCCACAATCAAAGCAACAGGCTGATGCCAGCATCGCCAAGAACTAATGAACTTCTGCTTTGACTTTAATTGCACATTTTCTTGTACTTGCTGCAATACTTTTGACTTCAAGTTTTTCATTTGAAAGGGTCTTTTGGTAACCATGAAACACTCCCAATCTGGCTTCCTGTATTAGAAAACAAAGTGTAATGTGCTATCAAAGCATGCAATTGTTGCACAACTGTGTTGCAGGGTTTCCTGGGTCTGGGTGTATTACAGACCACCATTCACCACCTCAGTCCATCTGTTACAAGAAAGGTTAAACTCGAGTTACTGCAGATCACTACATGATACCATTAGAAAGCTCTCAGGCTGATCTTTCCAGCCACATGTTCATTAGCAATGGACAGAATCTGCATTTCCTTTCAGTGAGAAATTCTGCTTTAAAACAAGGTGTCCTTACACATAAGCCTACAGCTAGACGGACAGCTCAGTTTGGCTTGTAGCGCAACATGCAACAAGGCAAAAGACCTGGGCTCAAGAGTACTCATACTCCTCAAGCCAGTGAGGAGGAAGGTTAGCTAGCGCTGCATCAGCAGGAGCACCTCCAAGCAGTCATGGTGTTTTGCCACAGTGAAACTATTGTATACTGAGGGAAGGGACTTTTCACGGGATAAAATGGCAGCCCAGAATGCAGGGGCGGGTGAGACTGACCTGTGATCCAGACTCCCTGTTTGGGGGTGGTCAGAACCCCCTGAGCTTATGCCTTGGGCAGGGGTTTGGTGGGCGAGAGAAAGCCCAGGCTCAGATGCATGGGTTACCCGGCTGCAAAAAGACAATATATAATAGAAAGTCTAAACCAAAGATGTTCTTATCAGTTATAACAACGAGGAAGACAAATGCTTATAGGAAAAGCCGTGCAAATTAACAAAGGTCTGAATTGCTATCTGTTCCCTGGAACCTGTTTTAACACAAGCTCCCAATTAAACTATCAACTTATTCAGAAAACTCTCATTATCATTCCTGAACAATTCTAATTGATTTTAATAGAGAACTCTTTTATCAGGCTGTTTCATCAAACATATTTCTGAAAAAGCATTTAGCCTGTTGGCATTCCTTCCATGTGTAATGAACCTTCTGCCTTTAGTAAAGAACATTAATTTTGTTTTAAAACATCTAGAAACAATTAAAAATGCCCCAAAATACCTTTAGTAGTCTCCACTGAGCTCTACACTTAGCATAAGCCTTGTTCACGTATGTTAGTCCAAGGGTTACGCAAACTTGTGAGCTGTACCATTTTCAGGAGCTGCCCAAAATGCTTGCAAACCTCCCACCAGTGCTGCTCGTGAGGGTTGCAGACCTCAAACCTTTCTCAGTGCTTAAGAAATTTTGCTTCTGTGATTAATGACACGTCTCTTTGATGCTTGGCTGTATTAAAAAAAAAACAACTCTGTGCATAATATGTGCAGTTATTGCAGACTTATGCATACACCAAATATTTTTGCAGGCAACTGCACTAGTGTGTACCTGCTAAAAAAAGAAACTGAATTCTGCACAAGGTATGGTACAAATGAATCCAATTTCTAGTGGTTAACTACACTCTACTAATAACAGGAGACCAACACTGTTATCCCTTTTCTTCCATTCAGCAAGTATGCTTCATTGGACTTCTAGGGGCCCCACAGGTGGACTTTCCAAGTACTGCTTCAGAACAGATTTCAGTATTATTCTATATTTCCCAGAGAAGGTAGGAAGGTACATATGTCTGGGAAAAGCCTCCATGTATTCTGAGGCATTCTCAAAGCAGGTGACATTGCTTTTTTTTTCCTTAAATGAGTAAATGCTGGCCACAGTTAGATCATTTTCAGTCAATTTTCTCTGCTTCCAAAGGAAGCTATCCCTCTAACCAGAGCCACCATGTGCCCTTGGCAACTCTCTCCATTTCCTACTGAACTGGCACAGCATGTGGATCATTCAGTGGGAGCTCTCTCTCTGAGTGGTGACAGGTCTGCCAAGGAGACTCGGACAAGCCATGTGAGTGCAGTCCAGGACAGATCCCATTAGGAGAAAGAATGTTTTCCTGCCTGGCAGGTCTCTCCCAGGAACACACACACTATACTTCATCCCCAACAGGCTGATGCATGGCCATTGGGAAGTACAAGCCTCCTCTCTCTAGCACAAGGGCTGCTGCTGGGCTGAGGGACCATAACAAGCATCAAGAAGGAAAGCAGAGAATTAGGTGGCAAATCAAGGGCACCTTTAAAAGAGAAAAAAATTTACATGGCAAAATATTTCCAACTCACAATATCTCTGTCTGCCCACTTATTTAGTGCTCCAAAGTTCTCAGAGCGTATCTCATTTGTGTTCTTGGCAGTTTGGTCAGACTAATTTTGGTTTTATCAAACTGTCTCATGCAAGGAGGAAAAAAAACCAAGCAAAATAATATTTCAGTAAGAGTTTATCAGCACAAAGACCAAGAGCACAGGGACTCTTGATAGATAAACTCCTCCAAGGGCTAAAATTTCTGGGTCCATGTTGCCATTTTGACCATGCAATGTTATAATTGCAATATGCATCAAAGTATTATTTCTGTATCTTGTAACACAGGGTCTTCTCTACGAGCCTTTCTGAACCTACTCACCTCAAGACAGTGCACTGCAGGTGAAAGAAAAGTTTCAGAACAAATTCAAACTCCCCAAACCAAAGAAAGTGGGGCCCAGAGAGAAGTTAGCATTATTAGTTTCCAGCAGGGTTGGTATCAAGCCCATTTGCCCATAGAGGTGCAAAGTTAGTACTCAAGACACGGGGAAGGGCAGTGTCATTGCCAACATGGTCAAAGAAAGGGCCATTCCCCTGTGGCATAAGTGCCATAAGAGCAGGCCAGGACTTGACAAGCTCAGAGGTTATGCTTCCAGCCATTCACCATTCACTCACAAAAGGGGCCTAAACCAGCAGGCTTAAGTACATTAGAAAGGCTCTTCCCCTTTGGGGAGCACTGCACACATGGGCTCTTCAGTTAATGTAACCAATAAATCAATAAGCAAGCAGCTCTAAGCCATACTGGAAAAGCTTGGGGGTCAGTCACTTGGTAAGGACTTTAATTACCCACTTATTGCAGGGCTTACTCCAGACTGGCTGTTTCAGGCTTCTATCGACAAACTTCAAGCTACTCTCAAAGAAGACAGATGCCTCTCCTAAAACCTCCAGGAAGGTACACAGAGATACACATCTCTAACTCTGCAATGGCCCAACCCAAGGTGAAGAAAAGGGTAGCAAATAGGTTATCAGAAACTCAGTATTGAACCAGGATACACTCAGCAATGGCAGTTTACTGTAGACAAAAGCCTGCAGTGATGGTGCAGGCTGCCACCATCACTAGGAATTGCTATAGGAACGACTGTGAGGAAGCCTACATAAAAAAGAAAATTCATAGTTAATTTTTAAAGAATAAATAAAAAGATGTCAAAATACATTAGCCAAACCATTTACCAGATTATCAGTCAGCAATCAGAATGGGCCACAGAGCAAAAATGCAACTGTCTACTTTTCAGTACTCTTAATCTCCATCTACAAAACACAAATATGAAAACTGTACTTTTTGGCTTTGCTTTTGTAAGTTCAGACTTACTCAGTTGAATTAGACCGTGGCCTAAATCTTTTGCCTCTGACTTTCTTTCTGTTTCCTCCTATATTACCTGAAAGAAATCAAAGGATAAAGACAGACAGTAAAACAACTTGAAACTCACCTGCATCCCATGCCAAACTGTATATTCTTTTTGCATCTATAGCAAAAGAGTTGATACCTCAATAGCTTTAACCATTTAAATGTCACAGGTCAGTCCCTCTTGATTTACCTCAGACTCTTAGGTGAGCTTTCTCTACTTTTTGCCGCAACTGTGCAGAGCAAAAAACTCCTTAATTTCAGCTTTCATTTGACAAAATCACTACACTTCAAGGAAAACACTAAACACTGCCTGATAAAATCACAGAAGTTGGCAAGAGTGAATAGACTTCCTTCTCTTCTTCATGTTAGCTTATACTGGAGGAATGGGAGAAATTAAATGTCATTTCTATGTGACAAAGCACTGTGCAAAAAAAGGCACTTGTGTAGGGTGCTGTTAAATCCTAAGTCCAGGTTAATAACAATCAGCACAATTTTAAGGAGTCATGCTGCTGTCTTAAGATCAGCTAAACTTCCAGCAGAGCAGCAATGGTCCACAGGCTGGTTTCCACTGTGGCCAGCACAGTGGTTCACACTTACCTTGCCAAGAATTACTCCTAGGCCTCCCATTTTCACAAATGTCTGAAATATGTTTTGTGTCTGGGATCCTTTCACTCCAGGAATGAGATAATCCATTTGACCTGGAATAGGAGGGCTCAGATGCGGTTATTGTTAAGGGTATTGTCTCACATCATGTTAACTCAGTGGTTCAGTCACATTCCCGAGGCTAGTGAAAAAACACAGCCTAAGGTCTGTCTGCATTAGCAGAGCCTCCAGGATTTCTGATTAAACCCTGTAGTTACACTTTGCAGCTGTCTCTGCAGTGGTTCGGTGTGCCCACGTTCAAGAGCCAGGCTTCAGCAGTGCTTTCTCACTTGTTGTCTGTGGAATGCACAAACACCAGCACACACCAAATTTCCTTTGGATTTGCAGTTCTGCCCCAGCTCCTAGATGGAAAATGCTCTTCCAACTGTGCTCACCTCAAGGTTTTTTTATCTTGCAGTCAAGCACATCCCACCTGCAGGCTGCCCACTCCCTCCTTGTGCTGCTGCAGGAAAGCCTGGACAGCTTACCTTACCCCACTGCTACCAGTCTCAGGGGCTCAGGAGTCCGTGATAAGTATCTTCCCACCCAGAGCTGGTATGCCAGGGAAGAGGTAACTCTGCCTCATTTTTGATAATTTTGAATTTTTATAATATTTTATTAGTCAATTGCTGCAGTGTATACTTCTAATGCTAAACTCAAAGCCAAAAACAGTCTTTATATCGAGGTGCTTGGTGCAAATTGAAGTTTTTCTTTCCTCTTGTATTCCCTCTAAGAGCCAGAGATGTGTGTTGGTGATGTCCAACCTGTGTGGTTTTGCAACAGGCTCCCTCTTGTTGAACTAGAGCTGCTGCTCAGCTGTTTGCCATGAGATCTACAATTATTTCCAAAAGAGAAGAGGAAGATGAAAAATTCATAATAGATGGCTTACTTATTACAAAGAAGTTTTGCTTAAAGGAACTATTTCTGTAGTTTTTAAGTCTGGATACTCTTGCATTTTTCAGTCTCTGTTTTCCTTGGAGGGCAGGCATCTGAGAGATGCTCTTCAGTTTCCAAAAAACCAGGCTAATCACAGCCACAGTGAAGTAAACTCAGGGTTTCACTAATTGAAACTTAATTACGGCATGAAAGGTCTGAGAACTAACAGATCCGCTGACAGATTTTTAAACATTTTCTCCCCCTCACAGTCTATTTTCAGGTTCAGGAATATCTTGCTATATACTGGTTTTGGTGTTTGCTATTTCATAACAGCAAGAGTTATCATAAAGTTACGTCTTAATCCTTGAAAACCCTCTGAATCCAAATAATATTTCAAAGTGCTTTCCAGCATGGAGAAGCCCAGGCACCTAATGGCCCAGTCACTCTAACATCTCCCAGGAGATGCCATCCATACTGGCACACAGAGCAAATCAAAACCAGCTAAGAAGGTAGAAAATAGCACTCTGGGCATTAAAATGGAAGGACTACGTCAGTTGTATCACAGTGTTCATGGAATATTTGTCAGACTTACTTTTCCAGACTTGACAGTGGCACAACATACCTGAACTGGTGGTGGGGAACAACAAAACTCTCTAGTACAGACAGACCTTAGAATCCATTAGCTTTTTGGAATATAATAAACAGAGACATATGAAATAAATGAAGTATGAAAAGAAACACAGATACTGAATGAAAGAAGAAACACATTAAATTACATTCATTTAAAAAGAAATTTTTTTCTTAACTGGTATTTGAACCTGATACACGAAGCTATGAAAATTTGCTTTCCTGAGACTTTTTGCAAAATTTCATCCAAATGAAAAAAAATTCTCCAACACAAACACTGAATCATTTAAGATTAATGTTTTCTTCCTGAAAAAGAATAATGTATCCACCCACACATCTAAAAACTGAATTTAAAAATTAGAAATCATTAATTAATCACTACTAAAGTTTTCCTAATAACATATTCATTAGAACAAACTGAATGAAGTTGCAATAGGATCAAGCAGCTATGCCAAAATAGCAAATGTGTCCCTTCCATATATTTCTCTTTACTTTCATTGAAATAACAGCATAGAAAATGGCTTCATCAACTGCACAGTTATAGGCTTCTTAGTGAGACAAGAAATGAGAATTGCAGTTTTCCTATGAAGTAGTTCAGGACTGTCAATCCCTCCTAGGACACAGTGCTTCTCACAAATTGTTTTACAGTGCTAGTTGGATATTTTCATAATTAAAGGATCTCTAACTGCAGAGGGATGGTAAGCACCATGACCTTAGCAAATACCAATGACTCTCAATGCTTTTCAATGAATTTTCCATTTTAAAATGCTGGGGGTTTTAAGCAACTGGAACAATAACAGAATTAGTGAAATCGGATCAAGGACAAAATCTAATTCTCTCATGATAGCAAACTGAAAACTATGGAAAGTCTTTGTAGAATTATTTTCTAAGATAATGCTTGGTGACCATTTAGTATACTAGTCTAGTAAGTGAAATAAAATGCAAGCACTATCATCTTTAATAAGAGAAAGCAGAAGTCTAAGTCAACACAGTGAATTAATGACACTGACAAATAAAGATATAAAAATAACATTTATATTTAACATTCTACGTTTATAACCATTACTGAAGCAAGACAGTGTTCCTTTCCTTTGATTACATGACCATGATTTAAAAAGTTGTGGATTTTTTATTTAATTTTTTTTCAGCCAGCAAGTATTTTTACAGTCTACTTGAAAACAATTCTCAAGCAGGAAGATGATGAAAATTTGATTAAACCAAAGTTTGTTTACAATGCAAAACGTTTTTATTCTGGCCTAATCATAATAATTAGTAGCTTAGGATATAGGAGGAAAATCAGTAATCAAAGCAAAAAGGATGCTATTTCAAACATTCCACAAAGAAAGAAGAAAGAATCAAACCTGCTGCAAAACAATGAAATGTTCTGACTAATGGAATAATGGGTGATGGAACAGGTAGAAATCTGAAAATGCGACAGAAAAGCAGACCTCTTCTTAGAACTAGATGCAGAGTTTGTGCTGACTCCAGGAGGCATGTCGCTATAAAAAGAGTCGGCCTCTCCCGGCTTTTTTACATAATCTCCCTGGGGTATTTGTCTAAAGTATAATAAACATTGTAGAGTCAGAAAACATGACAGGAACTAGCACACACACAAACATGCATGAACATTAGTTTAAAAGAAAGAGGTAAGGATAGCAATCCTTGAGGAAATCCGTTAATCACACACAATAAAGGCTACTAATACATAATTCAACCATCTGAGAGAAAACTCCCACACGCTTCCAGTTAAGTGGTTATGTGGTTTTGGTAAGCGAAAACAAGGAGAATTTCACAGGTAAACCCTGATCACAACTTTCAAAGTGAACAGTTTGTGTTTCTTGAGACACTGGATAACCAGTTCAGACATTTCAAATGGCTCATCACGCCGGTCGCAAAAAACACCCCCAGGTGCAGCACCAGTACTGAGCCTGAGCTGAATACATGCCTGTATCAAAACAGAATTCAGGGAAAGTGAATGCTTTTTTCCTTCTGAGATAGATGCTTTCCATTTAACTTTTTTGATGATTATTGAATTCAAGAATAGCAACCTGTTGAGTTGTTTAAACCTCAGGAGGATAAAAATCTCCAGTTTTTTTAACTGATTTCTTTTGCAGGGGAACTAACACCAGTGTCAGAGATTCTCACCTACTCCTGATTACCACAGTAGACTCAATCTGCCAAGACACACAAAAAGTAATGTCACACATATCTGATAATAGGCTATCCTTTTCCAGTATGAGAGGCTCCGTTATGGTGCATAAAACTATCCATGCATTAGAAAGTTCTAATCAAGTTATATAACGTTTTTGTAGATGGTGAATTCATCACCAGCTGAAAAAACCTGCCATACAAATATTCCAGTTATAGTTCCATCAGGTTGAAAAACCCTCCCAAGTAAAAGTAGCTACCCTGAAAGTTGGCTATTTCATAGCATCATCAACTTAAGCATCTATTCAGCCTTGCACTCTCCAAGGCCTTTTTGTTTCAGTCTGCCCCTATTAAGATGCACATTTATTTGGTTGATTTACATTCAGATTGTGTCCAACTACAGATCTGAACTGGGATCTCTTCATGGCATATCTGAATTTCTAATGCTCCTAAAATATTTAAAGTATCTAACTACATGGCACATAAATCATTAGTATAATGCAGTACTTCCACACTCCATCTTTTAACACCTTTCAAGTTTCATTTCTCATCCCATTCTTCAGCTAGTACATGCATGTGTTCAGAGTTGATTCAGTGTGGGCAGCTCTGTTCCCAAGGGTTCCTCTAGCAAACTGCTCTCTTGCTACTCCATCAGAAATAACTTCTCCCATGTAGCTGTGCCCTTTACAGCCACACTATCCCAGCTGGCAGAATCCTTGCTAATTGGCTCTTCTTGCTACTTTCAGTTTACTTGCTTCAGTTGCTTAGTGCTACCAAGTATCATCCCTTATGCAATGCTCAAAAATATCATAATAGCTTGTTTTCATCTTCATTTACGGAGTAATCATAAACAATTTAAAAAAAAAAAAGGGGACAGCCTGGACAATCTGGTGTATGTCTTTTTTTTCCATTTATGGAGCACTCCTTGCACTCTTCCAAAATTATTCTATTTAGAAGTCAGCCTACAGAACTTCATTTTCAGCATGAAGGAGATTTAGTTACTAAATATCTCCATCATCTTTAAAGTGACAGAGCCCTCCATTGTCTTCAGAAGCCTCAGTTTTATTCCGGTTTCCACTCTGCCCATGCCCACAGACTCAGCTGCAGACTGACTGCAGCTCTCAGCTGACTGACTCACAGTTCTCTGGCCATAAACTAATTTCTGGAGATATGGATATCTGAAAAAGTTAAGTTCTCTAATATTCCAAGGCAAACATGCATGGGGTGGTCTCTTTTTCTGCTTTGAGGTTTTGTCTGCTCTGTCGTCAGCCAATACTGAAACACCCACAGTAGTGACCTGATGGCCACGTTAGCCTGCACTTAGAGATACATCACACATCACTAAGCAGCACCAAACCCTTAAATTCTGCCATCCTAGTGCTGGGTGGCATTTCCTACCCACCAAACTCTGCATAAGGCTTGATTTCAACAGCTTTGCCCTTTTCCTGTTACTGTACCTTTCACCAATCTGACCTTGTAGCACACAACCAGTACCTGGCAGTGCTTTTCTGCTTTCACAAGTATTTTGAGTCTGGCAGAGAAAGTGCTACACAAGGAGAAATGGAGAGCAAGCACAACGGGTAGCAGCAACAAACAAAGCAGCAGCTTGGACCAGAAGGCAATGGTACAGGCAGAAAACAGGGGAATTTGAGAAACCCTCTTATCTTTGGTGGACTGGGAGAGGAAGGAGCCAACTCCTTCCCAGAAGACCCATCTGCCAGGCAGATGGCTGATCAAAGGGAGGTGGTCTTCCAGGGGCCAAACACGAGTCACTTGGAACAGTTTGGGTTTGGCACAAGCTTGAAATGATGAAAGCTCAGCCCTGTGCTGAGGACAGTACCATGCTTTAGCTACAACATCAACCGAACAGGGCGACGGGAAAGAATGGGCTCTTCATTCACATAGCAAGTTAACTGCATTGTATTTTTAACTGCAAAGAAGCTCCAGTAATGAATTTGTCTCAAAAGGCTCCTGAATATCATGCTAATATGAATTATTCAATTCTTAGCCTCCCAAGAACACTTTCATCTCTAATAGCCAATTTTCAGTCTCTCTTATTGGAAATATTCTCCTGTTTTACTAAATAAAATAGTCTATTGCAGAAGTAAACATTATTTTTGCTACTGAGTCCAGTGAAATCAGGATTTCAAGCAATTTATTAATAGAATACCACTTTCATATATTCAAGTAAATATTATTTAAAATATGATAATTCATCACTATATTTTCTTTATAGCATGTAAACGAACAAGAGAAAAGAAAAGCTATTTTCAGAGCTTTCTAAGATACATTCCATTACTTTTATCACATACCTCTGTCTTCTGTAGTTTCTTTCCATACAAAGAGAAGAGAAAGAAGGAAGAATGAGTTATTAGTATGCAGGTCAGTAAAAGAAAAAAATGTAAAAAGAAGAGCAATGTATACAGAATGAAATTTTAGTTCAAAATATTTCTACAAAAACACAAATAAACATACTTACAAACCTACTAAATCAGAATAACTTAGAAAAATCATGATGATGGCCAAAGTCAGTGCTGAGTTGGAGATACAGTTCATGATGGATTTAAGTCTATTTATTGTGAAGCTGCTAGTGAAAGGTGCACTCTTGCCCTCCACGTCCAAAAACTAATCCAACTGGCTAGGTGTGATCTCAAAATGAGCCCTTAACTTTTGGACTTTTACACAAAAGAGAAGTCCAGATTTTCAAATGCTGTCAGAAACTGAGAGTGATACACAAAGACAATATAACCTACCTTTCTACAATCCTAATCTTCATGCTTTTTTCCAAATGCTTGTTTTCTTTCATATTTCTGAGCCGCTCTTAGCCCTACCTCAGTCTAACAGATCAGCAGGGGATGTGCCAGTTTGTTATGGCAAACCTCTGGGGCCATGTCCCAGCTGTAGCATTGTCTGCAGCTGAACCTGCCCTGCCCTCCAAGCACACCAAGGACCCAGGGAGGATGGACCTCAAGAGCCAGTCTCACTCAAACAGATGATAAAGTCAGTACCTGGAATCTTTTTTATTAAAAGCAAAGAACCAAAAATCCCTCTATTTTTAGAAGAAATCCACAAAAGAAGGAAAAATGAAAAAGACCACTAAGGCTGCCGTTATCGATTCTGCCTCTCAGTGAGCACTGAAAGCTCTACACCAGGCAAGAACTTTCACCTTATTTGCAAATTACAGATTTTTCTGACCAAAAAATGTGCCTGAATTGATTTCAGCTTAAGCTGACTAAATTAAACATCTGTTTAAGGAAGCATATGGTTAAATGCTTTACTGACTGACTGAAGGCTAATCTTGTTAAATTTACTTCATTATAAGGAAAAACTGATAATTGAATCAGACTGAAATCTTTATATTTCCTTTGTCAGATACAGTAAAATCATAATCTGATCGTTTACCAAAGAAAAAAAAAATAAAAGAAAAAAACCCCAAACTGAAATAAGCAATGAATTTCAAACCTGGATCAAGCTCTCCAAAACTACATACAAATATAAGAAGTGCTTGAAAAATGTTAGTACTATAAAAATGTACCTGTATAATTATTGAAGTAGAACTTTTTTAGATTGTTATTTTCATAACATAATTGGCTATCAGATGAAATACACACATTTCTTAACTGTATTAAGAAGAACAAAATTTACTTACTTGTAACCCCAACCAGTTATTCCTAAAACGAGAGCCAACACTAAAATGGTGCCAGCAATAGCCCCTATTATTATATTTGTGCTAACCACACCTGGAAACACAAGAAAGAGGAAAAAATATACAGTGTTTTAGGAGAAGAATACACAAAACCAGTAAATGCACCATCTTTCAAAAACCTGCTTGAACAACTTGCACTAGGTTCATTAATTGTAAGCAGTGATGTAATCTTGAAGTATAGCATGGACATAAAAGATCACCTGTAAATCAAGCTTTGATCTCTGTGTCTAATCCCTTAACTGAACACTTGCTACATGGGACAGTCATGTCAGGTATGTCAATACAATGTTATCAATATTAAACTGCTGTGGCTTACATCCTTACAACCTGCCTGGCAAATACATGCTTAAGTTGCAATAAAAGCGACTGTTTGGTTTTGTTCAAATCTCTTCTATAGCTGAGTAAATTAACCAAAAGAGATATTCTGAAAGATGGTAGACTGTCTCCCCTACAAAGATTTATAATGCCAAACGTATAACATTCTCTTGTAGGCAAGCCTAAAGCAGAATAAAAACTTTCACTCAAAAAATGTAAAAGCCAAAAATTTGTGTGCCAACATGCTGCATACTGGCCATGTAATAAGAAATTTACACTACAAATAAAAACCAATCATGCAAGTAACATGACCTTTCCCTCTGGATATGAAAAGCCCCAGTAACTTTTCTGCTTGTCCTGATCCACTGATACATGTAATAAGGCCCCTCAGATGTCTGGGACAGGCAAGGTAGAGCCGCACACACTGGTACCAGCTCCGAAAGGTGTACTGAGTGCTTGTGAGCAGCACCACGCACACCCAAACCCAGGTCTGAGGCCTCATTTACAGACACTGAGTGCTTCTGCTGTGGGAGGAAGGGAGAGGAACAAGGCTCCTAACAGTGCAGCATGTTGTATGCTAACTGAAAGAGTAGGAGACCTAGTTTTGCTTAATGAACGTTCCTCAAATCCAAGATTTTTCAGTTATTGGTAAAAGTCATAACAACATACCTTTATTGATGGCATCTTTATCAAAAAAGAGATAATCTTTGATGCGAGAACTGCAGTCATCTCCTCCCCAGAATCGGTCACAGACACACTTTATTTCATTGCTACAAACCTGCAGCCAAAAGTGTAGCTCAGAAAAAAATCAGAAAATTAATCCATTCCCGTAATTAATACCTAAAGTATAGGTACAGTGATAAAGCACTGACTTTGACTGCCTGCAAAATTTTACAAAAAAATTTTTTTACATATAGCGATTTTAATTTATGTATTAGATATAAATGTATTAAATGTACTATTACATTATATATAAATAGAAGTAATATGTATTAAGTACATTAATATCTTTTAATGCATTTATCATTGCTTTCGGATACTCTGACCTCAAGGACTTTTTTTTACAAAATATGATGAAGTGGTCGATTTCAGATTAAAAAGGGAGTTTTAATACAGTATACAAGACAAAAGACATTATGAGAGAACAACTCCTTTGATCTCATCTCGGCCATAGGGACCTGGACACTGTTTCAAACTGTGAGGGACACGGGGACTTGCCAGGGCCATAGCAAAGCCACAAGCTGTGCACCAAGCAGAGAAGGTGCCACTAGCCAAAAGCTGGTTCACTGCCCTCTCCTCCAGAGCAAAGTAACTCTCAGCCAACAAAATCCAACAACTTTATGAACTATCTTGGCTGTTGACACAATAAGGAGGTAATTAAAAAGAACATCTGGAAAAACAGAGAACCAAGTTTCTCAATGCATAAAACCTTTGTATTTATTCTCCACTACATTGCCAGAAGAAATATCAATCAAGTTAGCAAAAGTGATAGCAAAAACATTGATTGATAAAATTTTTGTAAAACTAGTACACACTTACATACATATACATTGCTTAAGATGCCTTGACAGGAATGCATTAGGTTTACTTATGTACCTCCTTTCCTTTTCCTTTTGAAAAACTTCTCTGGCATAAAGACTTCTAGAGTCATACTGCTGGCTTCCTGAAAAGTCTGTACAGGCTAGTACACTACACAGTGCCAGGTACTCAGCAAAAACAGCAAAAGGGATTAAAGAGTGCAAGAACATACACCATGTCCTGAGCAAATCTGGCTGTCCGTAGTGCCTGGGCAGGTGCTGAAGTTGAAGGCTTCAGCGGGGAGGCAGCGATGGTCAAGGCACACCATGTTGGGTCCACACGGTGTCCCGTTCTCTACGTAGCCCAGGTCCGTCTCCTCATCAAGCTTTACATGACCACCACTGCAAGACAACCAAGAGGATCTTGGAGATTTGTGCTGTGATTAGATGGGACTACTTGAGAAACTGAGTTCTAGGCTGCTGCCTTTATTTTTATCTGCATTATACTACACACAGGACCAGGTAAGACTAAGTATTGGCTTAGTTATCTCACTGGCCCTAAGGTGAAACAAAGCAAAACATAGTACATCTACATCAAACAAATGTAATGGTGAAAACAAATACCATTTTTCCTGTGAAAGAGCTAGAGTCAGATAAAATACTGAGTTTACTTGTTTAGGACTTTATTTCATCTCACAGTTCTATGAAACTATGAAAACATACCATGTCTATAATTGGGATTCATCTAACATATAGCAACAAATTAAGCTGCCAGTCAGCTTTGGCAGTGCAGGCATATGTCTAAGTATTTTGGGTACATTAAGTACTTTTACAAATACTAAAGAATGTAAAATCAAGGGGCCTGAGAAGAGTATTACATCTCTACAGGCAAAATTAACCACTGAACAGAGGGGACTGCAAAACAGTTGCACACCCCACAATGCAGTTAATTTCCTGAAGCTTAACAAAGGTTGAAATGGAATAATGGTTATGTGCTAATAGGAAAAAAAACTTCATGGAAATAGTTTTTCTGCACTAAGGAATGAGAAAGCAGCTTTTCTATGCAAGATGGATATCCATTGTTCTGTTTTCAGGATTTCCAAATACCTGCAATTGTAGACTCTTCCAAAGTGCAAGATTGATGTTGTGATTTCACCATCCAGTTCTCCAAGTCTGGGCACACTGGATATATTGGAACACAGAAGGTATCCACAAAGCACATCCCTGCATTGAAAGAATAAAAAGATACTCATAAAAAATAAAATTCAATTAAAATGAACAATCAAAAATACAAGGTTTTCTTCACTTTCTTGGTTACATATTTGTTATTCCTTTTTTCTCCCACTGACAATAACTCCCATAAATAATGTGGTTCCCAAGAAAATTTTTCTCCTTGAGCTTAGATTGGGAAAACCTATATTTTATAATGTATTATCAAAAACACTCTGAGTAATAGCAAGGAGGAAGCTGTCAAGAACAAACCACATCAAACTGATTTAATAACCTATTAAAATACAGTAACTTGTCCATAGAGGAGCAACAGTAGACACTGGTTTTAAATAAACTCTCATATGACACATACGTAAGGGAACTGCAGACATGAAGTTTAATTCAACTGCTGAAGGGACTTTACTTCTCATGTGTGGAGACTTTTGCACTGTCAGAATAGCAGGGTCTGGCATCTCACATATTACTGAATATTTTTTACTTATGAATTTGTAATGGAACAGAAGTAAGGTTATCAAATCTGCACAGAAAGGTGGAAAAAGACATCAGTTCACCAGTAGGTGAACTAGTAGGCAGAACTAGAATTCAAATGGCACTGACAGAATGGAGAAATCCGAAAAAACAGTTTTATAAGGATTGGTGAAAGGTTCACAAATAGGTAGAAATAATCAACTGCATAAATAGAGAACATGAAACAATGGTTTAGGTAACAACTTGCAGGAAAATATTTGAAAAGTTACAATAGGATGAAAAGTGAACGCAATTCAGCAATGCAATGGCACAGCATAAAAAGTGACCACACCAAGACGTGAAACCACAGGCTACTCTCCCCCTCACTGCTAAGCCTCACCAAGAGTACTAGGACCACTTTTGGTCCAAGTTTTCCCAAGCTCAGATGGTGCTCTCTTGTCAGAGACCATCTCTTCTCGACACTCTGCTTCCTCCACGATTTCTTGCACAAAGGTCTGCAGAAGGCGGCCAGGAGAATTCTGATCCACACAGAGGCTTTTTGAGCCTCTTCATACCAGCTAAAGAAATGGATCAGGGATCAAAAAACTCATACCAGTTGTTTTCCAAATGGATCAACTTACTGTTTATTGCACTGTATCCAAGACTCTTTGTCTCTTCCACAGTTTCCTTTTTCAGTTCCTTCAATATTCAGCTTCTCATAGCAGAACCTGTCAGCAGCCGTCACTTCTGAAAACAGAAACAAATCTCTTCTAAGATGATGATGACTTTGAAAAGCCAGGTCACAGGAAATGGGGATGCACAATCAAGCAAGCAGGGTTTCCCAATTTGTGAACTGAATTACCATGATCTGCAGGGGGCCCATGAAACTGCACAATGTTCTTCTGAATTAAAAGAGAAGATTTTAGATTTTGTTCAGATTGATGAGGGGTTATTGGTCAAAAATGTCCAGAAGACACTGAAATTAATTAATGAAGCCTAATGGAGCCTAATGAGCCTAAATTAAAGAGTATAGGCTCCCTAGGTGATTATTAATGAAAACTTAAACCTCAGTAAACACCAGTACGCTAACAAACACTAGAGAAAGAGCTGGAAAAGAGGATGGAAAGATGAAATGAAGGGGGAAGAGTCGGAGGGACATACAGTTCTAGATATTTTCAATGGTTCTCAATATGTCTTTTCCATAATTTTTTTTAGCTAAAATAATCTTTCAAGCCACACGAATTACAACCAAGGTAGAAACAATAACATTCACTCACTTTCACCCCATATATATTTACATTGCCGGTCCCTGGTTTTACATCTTCCTCCAAAGCAAATACCCTAGAAAGAAAGAAAAAAATACAGAACAGGTTTCAAATCACTTGATTTTCCAAAATACGCATTTTTTACTATAGAGATTTGTCACATGTTTTCTACTGAGGTAGCTAATATGTGATTCTATCTTTTTTTCATTGAAAATATGACTTGCACCCAAAACTCATTAATGTTAGCAGAACTGTCCCGGGTGACTTCCAAAGATCTTAAACCAAAATCTATAAAAAGCAATTTACAACAGCAAAAAGAATGTAAAACAAACTGAAATGCTAATTACCTGTTTGTTATCACATGAATATCCATCCATTTTATGAATATTAGGAGAACACTATAGAAATATAAAATAAGTAATAGATCATAGATCAGACAAGCATGAAAGCAAAGTATACAACAAAAGTAACATGAAAAATTATTTCAGTATCATGCTGGTTTTTTCAGTATCAACAGGTTTAACACAATTTTTATTTACCTTACTATACAAAACAGTAACATTCATAGTGATTGCGAGACTACATGTGGGATTTTTAGTCCTTGGATAGAAGACACAAAAATCACCTGACTAGAATTTCCTGTGCAGTTCTCTGCAATATCACAATCATTCACTGCTTCTCGACACAAAACTCCTTTAGGTTCAAACTGGAAAAAAAAGCACAGAAAATTAGTGTCTTTGTTTCTCCATATCTTCCCTTAAATGCAATGCTTCCTTATAGCTTTATCTAAAATAAAAATTGGGAAATATTCATGTGCTGACTGAAGTGCAAAGACTTTCCTTTCTGTGGTGTGATTGCTGCACCACTCAAGCCTTTTACCCGTGCAAGTGATACCACTCTCTGAGGCAAGTGCACTCTCCCAAGTGCATCAACTGCGGGACCAAGCAGGAGAAGTGCTCTCCTGCAACACAGAACACCTGGGATTTATCAAACCAATACCACAGTGGCTTACAGCATTATCCTGACCAGGTCATTGCGCCGTTCTATGACTATTTTACTCTTCTTTACAACATAAAAAGAGTGATCCTGATCTTCTCTCTAGGGGTGAAGAACACCACAGAGCTCCATGGATGAACACTTTGGTTATCATAATCCCCCACTGTTGTTGCAGAATGGAAACTATTACTACATGTACTGAATTCTGTACAGTTTGACACAATTTTCCAAGTGACCAGATATTTAACAATGGGCTAAGTCTCAAGACCTGGAAAAGCAGGAAGACATCCCATTTGTGGAAATTGTTAGTGCTTCTGGTCATGGACATACTACAGCTGCCTTATTTTTTCCTGAAAGTTTTCTTAACCCTGTGATACCCAGTTCATTTTGCAGCACTGAGTTTTCCTTTTTTTTGGATCTGCATGCACATACATTTTGGTGGGGAAAACTGCTAACTCCACAGCTGGTGCCAACGAGCACAATCAGTGGAAGAGTTAGACTAGGGTACTTTCTGAGCCTTCAGCTTCCTTTTCCTACCAGTCTTTGGAAAAATGCAGACAGGAGTTTTGTCAGAGACATTACAGGATGCTAGGATGTACACTCACCATGTTTTGCTTTCAATTTGTCCTTCAATCCTGCTTTTAGGCAGGGTATTACAGGGGAAGGTAACTCCAAGTTTGGGAACTGTTATTATGGTCTTTTGAGTTGCCCTGATTAGCACCTCCTGGGGATACCTGTTCTGCAAAATTCTACTTTTCTGTTCATTTGCTCACCCTTGCCACTCTGTATGTAGATAAAACCTTGTGTTCTTTGCAAAAAACACAGAAGATTAGTCTTGTTCTGATAGTCTTTAATGTACTGCCTATGTGACTTGGATTCTTGAACAAAATTCACCCACACTAGCAATCTGCTGATTTCTTTTTTTTTATATTACATTAAAAAAAGGAATGTGCTAAGGGAAATGTGATCTGTTCCAGCATAATCTGTGCTTTTTCTTTTTTTAACATTACGATGAGCAAAAAGTCAAGAATGTGGTCCACAGTTATTACTAATGATCCTCCCAAGGAAATGAAACCATCAAATGTGCACAGACAAAGATAAAAATATCACACATAGTACGCCAGAGTTTTAATTACATTAATACTAATTATCATTATTACTAAATGAGTATAAACAACTATCTGAAGTCATATTTAGCTGGGGTCCCTTACAGCCAAGATCTGGTTAAACCTCCTTTCACTATTTACTGATGTATCAGGAAGAATACCTTACAGTTTACATAGGGCTTGGTTCTCTGTACTCAATGGGATTTCAGTCAGTCCAAACATAAGGAGACACAGGCATACCAAACTGAAACTGAATTCATGTGTCTTTTAGATGAAACCTTCTGAACAATTCTGCTAGCTGTGCTTTTGGTTTTGTTACTGCATCCTTTTCTCAGACCCTCTGTGGTATAATTTTCCCATTCAGTCTCATGGGGCAAATCCAGAGCAGCACGTATGGCACTGGGAATGGCACAAGGACATCTAATGAAATCTCATGGAACTTCAACCTGATTAAAACTTGTCTGAAACTGGAAGGATTTAATTTACCTCTGCATTTGATGACAGTCCCTGTCCCAAGAAGCCAAGCCTAAAAGACAGAGTATAGCCCCAGACAAATCAGATTTCAGCCAATTTTAAAAGGTAAGCTTTCAGAAGAGTAATCTCAAGGTCTGGAAGGGATGTGGTACCTGCAGCCACCCGGATGCATTCCCACCAGGATGCTGCAGTGAAGGTCACTGCCCTTACCCGGCACTTCCGACAGCAAAGCCCGTTGCTGCACTGGGAGCCCGCTGTCAGGGTGCAAGTGTTGCAGCACTCTCCTCCTTCACTGGCACACTCCTGAGGAACACACACACTTATAACAGAATACATGGGAAAAGCACATGAGCCCCAAGCTCTCTTATAACTTCTCGTCTTAGCATGCTACCTGAATGGATTTCTAATCAGGCTTTTAGGCACCTGGAAGAAGAAAAAGGCATGCTCTTGTGGGGCGTGAAACTGCTGTTTCCTATGCAATACAGAAAATAATTTTTCTAACTTCATATTGTCAATCATTAAATACTCACATTTTAGCACTGACCAGAGTCATGTTCCGAACTAGCAAACTACTTTCTTTAACCTTTGAAGGCCTGATTCTGCACAGGCAGCTATTATTATTACTCTGCAGAATTTATGTGGTGATAAAATAAAAAACCTGGACCACATTGTGTTAAACATGATGGAAAATGTAAGAAATTATGAATTCTTTGGCACAGGACCTTTGCATTGCTTGTCTTCCCCCACTTATTGTTAATGGCCACAACAGGCAGCACCAAGTCTTGGAGAATCTAGTTGCTAATTTAAAGTGCATTGCACTTACCGCTATTGTCCCACAGTCACATTCTTCTCCATCTTCCACAAAGCCATTGCCACATTCTGGAGGATCCAGAAGCTGCAGGGCAAATTCAGAAATCAAAGGGCATGTCTCTCCTAAGGGAATCATTGTCATATTTACTCTGTGCAACATGGTTTTTTACCTAGCAGCACTCTAAATTTATTAACTGAAAAACAGTATCCAGTCTGAAACAGACTAAGAGAACACAACTGAGGTGTACAGAGAATGAACACTGCCTTAAATTAATTCAGCAATACTGCCCAGCCACATGGTATCTTCTGTGCATAAGTGTCAGTTTTACAGCAAATTCAGTTTGAGCAAAAGTTACAATGAAAAACAAAAAAATGTGACAATAAAGGAAGAAAATTAAACCAATATGATGCTTTCATTATCTTCACAGTGGTTGCAATTGCTGTTCTTCTGAAATTCAAGCAATGAGGGCTCAGAGGTTAAAGCCTGCACTGTAAGTTCAGAAGGAAAACCCATAAAAATTTCTCCTTTGGTAGTATGTGGCTTAGAAATGCATGGAGTCAAGCGGCTGGGTTTCTTTGTCAGTTTTTGTTGTAGCTGGATTTTTCTTTCCCTTTTTCTCTGCCACAGTTGGGAACTTTCAGCAGTTTTCTATAAGCATGCATCACATAAGGGAGATGAGGAAGTATAGCTGGTGAGACTTCCTCCCTTTCCTTTCAGTCTTCCCACTGAACTGTAACTTAAAATATCTAAATCTGTATACTTGTGTGCTATACTCTCTTCTAATGAACACTTAGACACTTATATTCTGTTCTTTCCAGTTTCGTTGTTTCTGTTTTTCCAAAATTACAACACATAATTCTTCTAAAAGAAAACAAATGAGAAGGCATATAAATGTGTCACAAGATTAAAATTTTGCAGATTGTCCTCTAAGTTCTCCAATTAAAACAGGATCATTCCAAAAACCACTCTGCTTATGAGCCATCTGCACAAGTACATCATTCATGGTGTAGAGTGCATTTCTCTCCACCTGTTGCCTCTCTGTCAGTAGCCCACAGGATGGAGCATCACCCCGTGCATTTCACTGCGCCACAAACCACAGCCTGGCACAGGCTGATGTGCTATTATTAGATCCCCCTATTGAAATGGAAATTTGACTGCAGCATGAAATGCATATGTAGAATTTAACATAAAATGTATGCAAGCAATTATCTTTTAGAGTTACTAAGGAGTTGTTAAAACTGCTTGTTTCCTATGTATTTTTCCAGACATCTTAACTTCTTCCTTATGTCTAGGTGGGCTGCAAAACAGAGACAAGGAGATGGCAGCAACAGAGCATCCTGCCTTGAAAAGGCCTTGAGGGGAGGCCGTAATGTGAGGAGTGGCTGAGGTCACTGGGTCAGTTCAGTCTGGAGGAGACTAAGGGGAGACTTCACTGCAGTTACAACTTCCTCATGAGGGGAAGAGGAAGGGCAGGCACTGATCTCTTCTGTGTGGTGACCAGTGACAGGACCTGAGGGAATGGCCTGAAGTTGTGTCAGGGGAGGTTTAGGTTGGATATTAGAAAGAGGTTCTTCACCCAGAGGGTGGTTGGGCACTGGACCAGGCTCCCCAGGGAAGTGGTCACAGCACCAAGCCTGACAGAGTTCAAGAAGACTTTGGATGATACTCTCAGGCACGTGGTGTGACTCTTGGGGATGGTCCTGTGCAAGGCTAAGGGTTGGACTTGATGATCTTTCCAACTAGGCATAATCTGTGATTCTGTGAAAATACTGGGTCAATTTGCTACAGTACACAGGGACAGTTAAATATGAAATTGAAGGAAAAAAAACACATTAAAAGCAAATTGTGTAACTTTTCCCCAAATTTATATTATTCATCCATTCATTTGAGAAGCGCATATGCTCAATCTGCTTCAGCAGCCACGGATGTAATTTTCAGGATCATAGCTGATCTAACAGTGGAGCACTGTCAAACACTGCACCTTGTCACATTAATTTTCCTTTATCTCATAATTCCTGAAAAGCAAAAGTAAGTTTGTGTTTCACCATCCTTGCTAGGAAACACATCTTTGACAGCTTTGTGAATTAGACAGACATCCATTGACAACACCTTTAAACAAACTCAACCACAACATATAAAAGAGTCTGAATCACCATGGCTTCCACATTTCTGCATGCCATTAGAAACAAACTGTAAATACTGCCAAACTAAATTGGAGCAGGGCAATTAGTTTTTTTTCAAATGACAGATGTGTAAACAATATCACTAAAACAAGATCACAGAATCACAGAATCACAGATCAAACCGCTTGGAAAAGACCTCCGAGATCATCAAGTCTAACCCTTGATCCAACACCGCCGTGGTTACTAGACTATGGCACCAAGTGCCATGTCCAGTCTCTTCTTAAAAACCTCCAGGGACGGTGAATCCACCACTTCCCTGGGCAGCCCATTCCAATGTCTGATTACTCTCTCTGTAAAAAATTTCTTCCTAATATCCAACCTAAACCTCCCCTGGCACAGCTTAGGATCATGCCCTTTTGTCCTGTTGCTGGTTGCCTGGGGGAAGAGACCGACGCCCAGCTGGCTACAGCCTCCTTTCAGGTATTCAGATAGTTGTAAAGAGTGAGGAGGTCTTCTCTGAGCCTCCTCTTCTCCAGTCTAAACAACCCCAGCTCCCTCAGCCTCTTCTCATAGGACTTGTGCTCGAGATCAAGTAAGACACATTACAGTATGTAAACAATTCACTCTGTAAAGAAATAAAACCACCAGTATTTCTCTTCACCCTTAACAAACTTTTAAAATGCAGCTGCATTCTAAATTAGAAATCTTACATCTTATTATTTTTCTCTCCACTTTTAATAATACATTATTCCATGAAAAGAGACCTTTAGGAGAAAAGCAGACTCAGCTTGTCCAGATGTGATGCCTTCTCTTCCCCTCTCTAACATTTACTGAAACTCTGTGGTTGTCAGAAGATGCACTTTTTCTCAGGTGCACCAGAAGGAACATGCATCACTCCTGAATTGACTTTCTTCTCTTTTACATCTGTGACCTCCTCAGTTATCAAGTCTTTTTTCCACACTGGACTGTCTTTCTGCCTTAGCCTCTTTCCTTTGCTTGTTGAAAGAAAGTCATTAAGTAGAGGCTAACATTAATTATATATAGAAAAGAGTCAAGACCATTATTCTGCTTGCTTTACATTTTAACATGTGCTTCAGTAAACAGAGCAGGAATATACTGAAACACTGCTGCAAATCCTCCATTGCAGAAGCCCTTGTATCTTGGCTGGAGTTTCTTTAGCCTTGCTTTGTATTTACCTGCCTTAAATGTCTGGTGGTAGGGCAATGCACCCCCTGCAGAGGCTATAGAAGTCATGTCTTCATCTTGGGACAGATGTGAAATAAAAACAATCCTACTTCAGCCTCCAGAGATTTGTACCAAAAGACATTCAATGCAAATTAGAAAACAAACTGTGCAAAAGTTTACCAAGACACTTGAAACCTCAGTAAATACAGTCAGTTGTAATATATAACATAATACAATACAATAATATCATACAAATATATAATACAAAAATATATTGCATTTACAATATTCAGAACAAATTGCATAAGGGATGGTTCTAGATCAAAGGCTCTGGGAACTCTGTTGGACATGAAACCACTTTATTAAAAATGTATTTAAATATAATTTCTAAACTACTATGAACTAAAATAATCTACTTAGACCCATATGTTGCCAGAATAGTTAGAACTTAGCAAAAAAACAGAAATATAAAAATTACAGGTTTTTTTCCAACATCATAATTTTCATTTTTCTTGGTTTCATCCAAATTAGGAATAGAATAGAAATAATACTCAATAATAAGGTAATGCTTACTTTGGTTGGTTTATTGAAAAGGCAGGCGCCACCTCCATTGTTTAAAAATTCATGATACTCTTCAATATCACACTCAGAGAACTTGCTTGGAAGATAGTACCTGACAGAAATAAGGTAGCAGGATCACTTTCTCTAGTGCTTTGTACACTGTATTTTCTTTTTTTCAAAATAGGAGAAACATGACATTAAAGTTTAGAAAAAGTATAAAAGCATGCTGTTCAGAATCAAAGTGACTCTTTGTAAGTCTATCTAATTGGAAATCATTTCAGTAAATAACAAGGAAATTTCAACAATGACATAGAGCTCATGGAAAGTGAGAGGTTTAGAACATTTCACTAAACTTTTACAAGTCAAAGACCATAAGTCTTATTACACAGTGTGTAGTTCTCACAACTGTGACTCGTTCCACTAACAGGCCTGAGCTCAGAAATATATTTATTTCCCATACATACTGCAAGAGACAAAGACCAATCCTAGTTTGTTTCCCTCTTAGAGGAAATTGGTCTCCTGGCCCACAGAATTTTCATATAATAGAGTTATGCCATTTTAAACATGCTTCTAACAAACACCACCTAATATTTCAGCTTCCCCCTCTTGTGTGTCCCACTCAGTACACACTGAGTACAGAGTACAGAGCACCAACCTGAGGCACAGTGCCCCACCTAAAACCCATATGAATCTTTGCATGGATCCTTTCCACAGGGAAATAATTTTTCTCAACTTCAGTGATCTTTATATTCAGGTGCATATTCATGAAAGTAGTTATGCTTCAAGCAGATTGTGGAGTCTCAAAGGCTTTCCTCTATCAGCTCATCACAGAATAAAAAAAATATTAGCCAAAGTGTTATACTGCATTGCCAGGAGTGATTACTGGCCCTCTCCATCCCTAGTGTTCATCACTTAGGTCTAAACACTACAGAGATTGTGGAATGCACCCACATTCATCAATAAGCTAGGTAAATAAAAGGCTTTTTTTTTTTACCTAATTATTTGGAAAGTTTGAAATTCAGATAAAGAATTTTAAGGCCCTTAGATAAGAAAACACTTTTGCAAGAATCAAAAATGCTTCTCTGATTTGATTTTTAACATACTAAAAATCAGAAAAATCCTACTGAATATGTTTTTAGGTATACCAAGGTGAAGAATGCACACATTCATACTTTCAAAGAGCTTTGGATGAAGCTTTGAACAAAGAGTTTTCTTTGTTCAAAATTTTTCTGACCACAAAGCTATTGTGAAAATTTGCAGATCCACTTGAAATGAATTAAAAACTTGGAGCACTGCCTACATCTACAGTTTAACTCATACACATGATAAAAGACAAGCCTGTAATAAGAATTAAGGCCTGTATACACATATTAGAAGGCATCAAGTTTCAATCAGTAGAAAAAATTTGCTGATTCACTAGTTCTTAGGTAAAATCTCTCCAGGCACACTCAGCCTCCAATGAGGGCATTTTTTTCTGACAATATCACACAACTTGAGGGATAAAAAAACGATAGATACAGATGAAAGATTCCAACAGAAACACTGAAAATGAGACATACTTCAGAAATTTGATTACAGTATTTCAAGAATTAGGGTATGTCACTGTTTGTTCCCACAATTCAATAGCAAACTTGCAGGAGAAAAGAAGCTACGCATGCTTCTGCTTCTTTGCAATAACATGGCTTGACTGTTGAACCCAGTGCTTTTAAAGTTAAATCAGCATTCACCAAAAATTCTCACATATCCTCTCATTAAGTCACTTATTCTCACATTTGTTTGAAGGTATCTAAGGTATATAGCTAATACCTTACTTTCTGAAAAATGAGTCACCGAAAATATTCTGCTGAACCACAAGAGGGAAACATTTTCACACCTTTCCTTTACGTCACTGTATAAAGAACATGACTTTCCTCTAGTGAAATGCCTTACCCCATATCTCCCATTATGCATCCAGACCACATGTCCTCACACTTACACTCACCTGACAAAAAAAAAAGATAAAATCAAAAGTTACATCTTGAGTCTCATGAGTCCAAAATAATAAATTTCTTATCACAAAAACCATACTGTACTGAATTCCATTTCATATTTTAATACAAGTTGAAAATAATAATTTTTTTGTTTACTGAACACCTTAAGTTTAAGTGTATCAGTGCACGCTGCCAAACTTTTTCTAAAAACTATGCATGATTCTATGCAATCCTGAGCTTTGAAAATATGTTCTGTTTTTCTTTCCTTCTCTTAGAGTGAAGTTAGAGGAAACTGCAGTGTCAGCCTTCAGCACTTGCAAATCATGAGTCAGCTCTCCTGTCTTCTCCTGTGTGATGATATTCAATTCCCAAATTTTCAGAGTAAAAAAAATCATTTTAACCCTTCTATTTTTTAGTTCTCTTCTTTGACTACACTAATGTGACTGGGGAAATCTTCACTTGAAAAAAATCCCTAACAATAAGGCCGACAAAAAAGCATAGAACAGTCAGTAAACACAAGGCAATACAGCAGGATCTATCAACTTCTTTCTCTGCTTTCCCTCTTTTCGCCATGCGACTTTCTGGCTGGCAGAGGGCAGTCCTCCATTCTGCCCTGCCAGCCTGCCTGGGGTCACTTTGTTTTGGTCTCAGTCCACCACTTTCATTACTGTGTCTTGTTTCTATTTCAGTAGAAGTGCTTTGTACATACGTGTTCTGTAACTTGCCTTACTGTACACATGAACATCAGTTTATTGCTTCCATTTTAAAAGTACAACTAGAAAGGAAATGAGGCTCTGTCCAACAGGTGCATTCTCCCCACCAAAACAGTGCCCTGCCTCCCTCAGCCATAGAGAAAGGGAATCACCAGTATTATAATTTTCACTTTTACCCTGCCCCTATATCAGCTCAAAAATATGCAGAGGGAAAATGAATGCTGAACACGTCTGTAGCATAGAGCATCCGCCCTACATTTCTGAGTATTTTTAAAAATACAATTACATAATCTGCAAAATCCTTTAAATGCAGATATATCCCTGCATTATATACTTTCTTTACGTCTGTAAACCTAAGCAGAGTTCTATTACTAAAATTGTAATTTATCTTTTTTCAAATCGTAATTTATCTTTTTAAGCCACAAAAGTACATATGATCCAATAAGTAAACACTCCAATTCATCATCTAAGTTGTTTCAAAACTGAATTTTTATTTTAATCATATCAAGGCTGAGACTTAATGTAACATGGAAGCAGAGAGGGTGAGGTGCTTGTTGTGGGCAGTATGGTGGAGATCTGAATTAAAGCACTGCGTATAAACAGGGGTTACTAAGAAGTTGAATACCAAGGTTACAGGAGAGAAATGGTAGCAGTAGGGTGGCAAATACAAGGTATTAGTGTAATCTACAGGAGGAACTGGGCATTTGGGAAATCTACAAGAAGAAATCAATCAAAGAAAACAGAGAAAAAGTTATATTGTCAACACTATTCTGCGTAACAGTATTAAGCTTACTCCTCATCATCCCCAGGTCTAATAATGTATGTTTCCACCTTTGTGCTGTAAGACAGCAGCTGTTTGGTCTGAGAATGGAACACCAATCTCCCTGAAATAAATGGAAGTGGCAGACACCTTTATGGTTTATTTTGAATGAAACAGTGACACCACTGCTGCCAGGAATTATGAGCAGGGGGATATCACAATATTTAAATAGTGGAAAATTAATGATATCACAGAATATACTGAGTTGGAAGGGACCCACAAGGATCATTGAGTCCAACCCCTTGCCCTGCACAGGACCATCCCCAAGAGTCACACCACGTGCCTGAGAATATTGTCCAAACACTTCCTGAACTCTGTCAGGCTTGGTGCTGTGACCACTTCCCTGGGGAGCCTGGTCCAGTGCCAAACCACCCTCTGGGTGAAGAATCTCTTTCTAAGATCCAACCTAAATCTTCCCTGACACAACTTCAGGCCATTCCCTCAGGTCCTGTCACTGGTCACCACACAGAAGAGATCAGTGCCAGCCCCTCCTCTTCCCCTCACAAGCAAGTTGTAACTGCAATGAGGTCTCCCCTCAGACTCCTCTTTTCCAGGCTGAACAGACCAAGTGACCTCAGCCACTCCTCACATGGATTCCCCTCAAAGCCCTTCATCATCTTCGTTGCCCTCCTTTGGACACTCTCTAACAGCTTAATGTCTTTTTTATATTGCAGTGACCAAAACTGCCACAATATTCAAGGTAAGGCCGCCACAGTGCAGAGCAGAGCGGGACAATCCCCTCCCTTGAGCAGCTGGAGATGCTTTGCCTGATGCCCCCAGGACATGGTTGGCCCTCCCGGCTGCCAGGGCACTGCTGACTCATGTTCAACTTGCCATCGACCAGGATCCCCAGGTCCCTTTCCATGGCACTGCTTTCCAGCATCTCATTCCCCAGTCTGTATGAACATCCAGAGTTGCCCCATCCAGGTGCAGAATCCTGCACTTCCCCTTGTTGAACTTCCTATGGTTGATGATCGCCCGGTCCTCTGATTTGTCGAGGTCTCTCTGCAGGGCCTCCCTGCCTTCAGAGGAGTCAACAGCTCCTCTGAGTTTTGCGTCATCTGCAAACTTGCTTAGTATCCCTTCCAGTCCTGTATCCAAGTCATTTATGATGGAGCCCTGTGGAACCTCACCAGTGACAGGTCACTGGCCTGATGTTACCCCATTCACTATTACCATCTGTGCTCGACCCATGAGCCAATTCCTCACCCACTGCATGATGTGTTTATCCAGCGGTATGCTGGGCATTTTGTCCAGAAGGATACTGTAAGAGACAGTATCAAAGGTTTTACTGAAATCCAAAAAGATTACGTCAACTGGCTTCCCTTGATCAACTAGGTGGGTTACCTTGTCATAAAAAGAAATCAGGTTTGATAAGCAGGGCTTTCCTCTCATGAAGCCATGCTGGGTGTGACTATGTCTGTCCCTTCTCATGTTATTACAAGAAATAAAAATATTTCAACGTTGTGAGAAACAGAAGGAAGAAATACATGTCAGAGAGATACTGATAAGATTCTCCACATTTAAAGATTTTTTTTTTCTTGAGATAGAGTGAAAAAACAAATAACCTTACCACTTATAATTTTTCTTCTGTCTGAGAAAATGCCAATGTTTTGGGCCAAGGTCTGTGCCAGGGTAACTGCCATCAAGTCTGGCTTTCCAAACTGACAGAAATAAGCAAGGTAGGAAAAGTAATCAGTTCCATACAGGTATCTCAGATTCAAGTGAAGTTTTCTCACTTCAAAGCAATAAAAGGCAAAATCACATGCACAATGTTAAGTGTTCTTACTTCAGGGTAGCTAGATAATGAACAAGTGAGGAAAACTAAACACTGGCTTATGGATAAGTTAAGTAAGAGAAAGTCTGTTTATTTCTTGCTATTGTGCCTGCAAATATGAATGACAGGATATTGCAGAACTTGTTGAAAAGTGTATTTGAATCTATATCTGACTTTATTCACCCATCACTTCATTGAGATGTCCCTTCTATAGAGCTGCACTAAAATTCTGAATCAGTAAAGAAAGAGAAAAATATTTTGAGGAACATATCTGCACTGATAAATTCTGTGCAGATAAATTTCCACCACTTTTCGCTCATACCAGTATCCCCACCTACCTCATTCACACCTCCGCCTTTAAGCAAGGAGCAGATTCCACCAGTGTGGGCTATACCACTTCGACTGCTCTGAAATCGACTTCCCCTTTGACAAAAAGGAAAAGAAAAGGAAGTTTACCCTGACCAGTACATGAGTTTTGCATCTATCTATTCCAGTATCTACCCTTCAGATTTTCAAATGAGAAGCTGGCATTTGCAAATGCTGGTTGCCACCACTACGCTGCAAACTGTGCAAAAACAAAATGGGAAAAACAGATAACCACTCACAAACCTCACAAGACAAATTATCTCCATAAAAGTTATACCATCTTGCCTCCTCCTTCTCAGAATACCGAATACAAGAAGGCATAAGAAGAAGAGGACTATTTTGCCAAATCACCTGGATCTCACCAGCCCTTTGTTTCTTGACATACTACTGCACTGAGTGACTTCTGCTGGCACATGTGACAGGCAGAGTGCAGGAGAGGTCATCATGCTGCCAACGCAGGGGGACTAGTAAAACTACACTGTCTAATTGGGCAATGCTGATGGTAAAACTCATAGGGAGATGTATCAGTGGAAGATGCAGAGGTAGGTGAAAATTCCCTGACACTGCAGCCCATCTCATCCAAGGAACAGATGCACTCCAAGCCTAAATCTAATCACCTCTTTAGCACAGACCACATCAGCATGAATGACTGCCAGTTACTGGAGGCAAAATATACTCTGCTTCGCTTGAGAGTACTGATCCATCTGAGCCCTGGCAAGTTATTTTTCTCAAAAAAATAAGAAAACCATCGAGAAGCAATACAAGGGGCTAACTGTGATGAAGGTGAAAGTTCATTTTTAACCACCGTACCATCACACCGGCTAACCTCACCTCCCAACTTAGCCATGTCTCACTCAATTTCAGAAACTGCTATTTCTAAACAATCTACGAATGCAATACCTCTAACACCATTTGGTGGCGCTAAAGATAGCACTAGAATTAGCATTACAGGCCAAATCAGGCTCTCTTCTGTCATAGTCAATCCACACACATTCCCAAGAACAAGACTTCCCCCCAAAGATCTTACAATGTACCAGAGAACATCCATGAAGGATGTGAGAAAACCTGATTCCCATTTAACAGATGAAGATCTGAGCCATGGAGAAACAAAAATCTACAAGCACCACTTGCAGATCTTACTAGCTTTCTTCATGACAGAAGTCAAGGACAGTAATTAAGCATGTGCAAAAATTCTGAGAGGATGGATACTGGGCTTGGGTATCCTGGAACCATACTGGAGTAATGTAAAAGTGAGGTGTTTAAGTTAAGTTTATTCATATAGGATTCTAAAATAGTCAGTAGAGAGAAAAAAGGACCCCAAAAGATATTCATTTGGCCTGTCTGTTGTGGATCAAAAATCTCAGCCATGAACCTCTCCTCTATTTTTGAAGATACATTTTATTATATCAATCTTATTTCCAAAACAATTAAGATATTTAGAGAAAATAACATTCCTCTCATCTTATTCTTCTTATAGCTCAAATATCTTGGGAGAACAACCTGTTTGGAGGATCTGAAACACTTCAGTAATCCTGCAGCATGCAGGTCATTCAATAAAGTAAAGCAGGCCATAGTGTGCTTAAGCAGGAAAGCTCATTGCTTTCAAAACTAATGTTCTGCTTTTAAATAATACAACAGGGCTGTCCATGCTCTGCTGCTGAAGAAACCAACCTCCGAGGTGGAACCATGCATGACCCTCCAGGTATCTGCACTTGTGGATAGGTAATTGCACAGAATAAAAAAGGATTACAGCACATGCAGCTCAGTCTTAGTACATTAAAACTAAAACGAGAGTCAAACCTCTAGTTGCATTGGCAGGCAATTTGTGCATTATCTTTTCCCCACCTCCCCACCTAAAACATTTTTTTCTGAATTATTGTGGATTACCCACATGACAGAAAGGAGATGCATGAGCCACTTGTGAGAATCAACCCCCAAGGAAAGAAAAAGCCCAGTAATAAAACATCACACAAGGTTACGTACGAAAAAAGGTGAACTGCGTCACTTTTCTCTCTGATAAAATCCCTCCTATATTTCATAAACTCACGCAGGGTCACCAAGGGATTTTCAGATATGGTGAACTTGTTATCAGTAGCCCAGGTTTCCATGGCAACCAATACTATCCTGGTGTTAAGTTGTTCTTTATATATCTAGTATATTAACAGAATGAACAAATACATTACGTCAAATAGAACAAAGGTGAGTTTTACCCTTTCTTGAAATAGCTTGCATTTTTACATAACTAAATAATTAGCTTCTTCTAGCACAATTTAGGTTCTCCTGGGTGATTTTATCGCCCTTAAAACCGACAAACATGAAAACAAAGTAAAATCTAAATTTTAGGCCTAATTCTTCAATCAGCTCTCTTAGTCTGCAAAAAGATCCCTTGCAGGTCCTACACAGGCAGAGGTGATTAGAAGAAAGATTTGATTTTTGAAAAATTACAATAGAACCATTCCAAATATCACAAAGATTTGGAATTAATGGGTCTTTTATAAATCCAGCTTACCCCAGTGACACACAAGGGCTCTCTTATACTGAATAGTGATCTATAAAACCATATTTTTTGCTGTTGTACACCTCTACAGGAGTATTTAACCTTATGCTGGCTGAATCATGAAAAAGAGGCTATCCTTTCAATGCTGGGGGTTAACACTCCACACCAAATACTTTCAAGCATTTTTTCTAGTAATAATTTTCTTTTTCTAGCAATACTTTAGTGGGTTGAGGTGCAAGAGCCAGCATCTCATCCAATTTAGCATCATAGATATAATCCACATAGCCCACCTCTACATCCCTATTCTAACTCATTTACTCAAATGCACTTTTTCTGGAGAATTTTAGCGCATTCTTATTTCAGATTGTCTTCTGGGTTTCAAGTTGTCAACACAGGGATCTTGTGTTAAAAATGTCATATCTAAGGCGCTCTTTAATACCCAGTCTCAAGACACTGATCCAGCAGGATGCTTAAACATTTAAAGCCACAAGAAGTCTCTAATGCGTTATGTTAGAGAAAGGCTTTATAGGTGGCTGACTGTGGTTCTAGATGAAAATTTGTGATCTTCACATACATTATTACTGGTATACAATGAACTGACAACTCCTGCATATATCGCCAGGAGAATCATATGACTCATCTCACACAAAAAAGAACATTTAGTTGAGTGATACTTACTAAATCTGCCATGTTCACAACTGATTTAGCATAGCTGTTAGTATGGCCGACTGACAAGCGGTGCTTTTTACACTGCGAAACAAACACAGACAAGTCACATATGCAGAATTCAGAAAAATAAGCTCCATTTCCAAAAAAGAATGAAGTAAAAAGCAACTATGTCAACAGTAAAACCCCTGTGCAAAGTTTGGTCTCCTGTGCTGAATATAATGACAAGAAGTGATACTGGAAAATTGCTCAGAAATTCAAATTACTGATATACTTTTCAACAGCTGTTGTGAGGATCTATTAATTCCTGTTTGGAAAGTACTCTAAGGCCTTTACTGGGAAAAGCTATAAGAACCACAACATATTGTTACTTTTCTTATCTTTATTGTTGGCAACTTTAAAGTCCATCATAAATGCCAATGCAGAAATTAGCAAAAAAACTTCTGTAGTTGAGACTCCTTTAGAGGTGTTATCCCAGAAGTCCAGAAGTGCCTGCATCCATGTTCTAATCTGACAGACTTCCTTTTTTTTTTTTCTTCAGTTCTCTTTCTCAAGCTGTTTTCCAGTTTTCTGCCTGTATAGTTCCACATTTCCAAAATGCCACAGTAACGGGTTGAAATCACTTCAGCAATCAGACTACAATGGCACCTTTACTGAAATCTGTAATGCAGTTCTATAAAGACGACACTGAAAACAGCTGTCCAGGTACTCCTATTTACAGGAAAAAAACATTTATGAATGAGCACCATGGGTATGGAAGTCACAAGTATCTCAGAGTAATTTAGGACAAAATGGACAAGATTTTCAGAAATGTTTAACTATCTTGTGCCCCATGATGCTTGATTTTGGAGTGAAAGTTGTCCATATTTTCTGGAAATTAGGATCTTTTAGTGGACAAGAAGAGGTGCCCAGCAACTAGCAGGTGAGAAAGATATGGTTTCAAGAAGGAATGGGGGGAAAAAACCTAAGGAAGTTATGGAAAAAAAAAACAACAAACAGAAGAACAGGACTGCGAATTTAAAAACGACAGAAAGGATGAAATGAAAAAGCTAAAAAATAAATGGAAAATGAAACACTGACACAAAGGGAAATAATTATACTACTCAAGTCTCTATTTGCAATTAAAATCTCAAACTTTAGGATACTTAGAGACACTGAAGGCCTACTGAAATATTTTCAGTATAATAATTTATAAGTCCATTTGGGTTTTAAAAGCTTTATTCCCCAGCTGGAAGCAATGGTTGGACAAGCAGCTGAGAGGGCAGACAGGCGGGCACTGCACCCCTCGCAGTGGTGAGCAGCCCAGGGGGACTGGTGGGATATAGCCAGTTCCCTGGACCACAAGAGGAAGCATGAATTTCATTGTGCCCTCTGGGAATGCCTGGTGCAGGTGATCAGCAAAAGCAGCTCCAACTCTTTAGGGTGTCAGCTCCACACCAAGTGCACCTGGAGTGAGGCATCGACTGACACACAGAGGAAAATCTAAACACACACGTGCACCAGCCCAGGTCATGGGGAAAGGGACAACCCCAGAGCTGACAATGATACTTCCTTCTCCCACAAGGAGATTATTTGGCTTCTTCAGTCATGGATATTCACTGGCATTTGCTTCAGAGAATAAACTCCTAAGTGGACTGACTCTTGCAGTAGCTGTAATTAATCAAAGTCAGAAAACATGGTCCTTGGAGAAAATCTTCCCAAACAGCTAAGGTCCCAAGGGGAAACTTGTTGCTTCATGTCTTTAGGATCAAACACAATTACACCAATTTAGGGAATTCCATCCATTATTATTCATTTTAATCCAAGAATTTGTTGCTATGCTCACCAAACTGAGCTGAAGGAGGAGTATGCTGTCCAAGGACAGTGACACATTCCTTGTATACTTTGATGCCTATTTTTGCCAATTTGGGTATTGTTTGAGAGAAATGCTGCACATTAAAGAAAGAGTAGACAAAATGTATAGAAATATTTTGATTTTTAAAGTCATAAAGGACCATAAAATCATCTAATGTCACCAGTCAGATGGACACCACCAGTCTGAGCTTTTATCCAGTTACTTCAACATGGGATTCTATTGCTTGTGTTTGACACTACCTTTGAAGACTGCAAGGCATGAAGAATTCACCATTTCCTTTGATATTTTCATTAATTATTAATTATCTTCACTTACATAAATCTGTGCCTTTTCCCACTTCAATGAGCCTGGTTTTTCTTCAATACACTAATCTTTATTATGTCTCTTTCCACTACAATAAAGAGCCTATTTATGTTGTCCCAGAGAAAGTATACAAGTTTAACAAAATAATTTCTATATATTGATTTGGATGTATCAAAAAAACATAGTCACTATTAATTTCCCCATTGTCAACTGCAATAACTGCACTATTGATTGCTGAGTGGCTGTAACTAAAAGAAGTGTTCAAGAAAGCCAGAAAGAAAATCATCAGCTTAAGTCACACTGACATTACTTTATGATCCTTTTTTCTGATACTCAGGCCTAGTTGCATTCCTTGTGTAATTACCTTGCCAAAATTCAGAAACAACTTCATCAATGGTTAATGAAACCAGAATCTTTTTTATTAAGGACATACTGAATGCAATCTGGCCATATATTGTTCTTAATTGCTATCCCTTATGGATCAATTAAAGGTGATGCTAATTATAACTGTAAGATGTTTAAGTGTATCAGTCTTACCATTAGATGATCATTTACAATCATTAACTCAATGTATTTTGTTTCTTCTTCAACTTTACGTGGAATCTGACGAACCTACAGAGAGAATATAACTCTAAGATTAGAGTCTTACAATACAGAGAGAGTGTAACTGGTACCAAACACCTGAACTTAGTGGCTCCCCCACTTTAATAAACAGGGAATGAACTCTCAGTTTAGAATATTTATTTTGAAACAAAATAAAGTGAGCTACTTGTCACCATTGTAACATAAAAAAAAAATACGTATTTCATTAATGGGAGTTTCTGATAAAACTCTATACTCAAAATGAGAGAAAACAGTTTTTCATTTGGAATTCAGCAGTATTTAACAATTTAATAACTCTTCAAGTTGGGTCCAAGAGAACTCAACAATGTTTAGCCCACATTACATATCTCTTTTTCTAACAGCTGTATTGATATAGAGACCTCATACCAAACCAGCACAAGCAGCAGAACTCCATGTGGGCAAATTAACTCAGCAGACAGGAAGCAAACTCGATGGCATATTACTTATAAACAAGCATATTGGCACATACCTGCCTTTTCCTTCTTTTGTGTCTTGGCCTTACAACAAAATTCTGTGATGTAGCATTCATCTGCCAGAACTCTAAGCAGAAAACACAGATAAATACACTGAATATTTACAAGAATATATTCCAACAATTAGTGACCCTGATGCCACATGACCGTAGTATGGCATTCTTCAGCGCATCAGATGCAGCAACGACTCATTTTTTATAGTTTCCAACTAGAAAGGAAGCAACACTACAGATGCTTCTCAGTAACAGAGCTCTTATTAAAAACTCTACTAGTGATAATCCGGGTCTGTTGAAACAGATGATCTGTGGGTGTCACACTTCTGAAAGCACAGCAGATGTTCTATGCCAAAACTTCACCAACACTGGGCATGAAATATTATTAGCACAGTGCTTCCATGGAGTGAATAACATTTTTAGGAATTCAGCAGCCATTGACAGAGTTCTTGCAATAGCTACCTAAATTAATAAGAAGAGCATGGAAGGCAGAATTAATGCTTTAAGACGATTATATTCACAAAGCAAAATATGTCAGAGTTGGGAGAAACCTTATAAGATTTGGCAATGCTCACTAATCAATACAATATTCCTCCCTGCTAATCCCACTGTGTCTTTAATTTCTTAAACCTCTAATCGTATGCACCAAGTAGTTTATTCTTTTGCCAAATCCCTTCACCAAATCTATTACTAGTCACTCATGGAAAAGGACACATTATAAATTAAGCAGAAGACAATACTTGTTCTCACCCTTTTAAATGTCCAAGAAGTATTTTTCCATCATTAATCTTAGATTCATAGCCGCTGCCTCTCTTTCCCTATACAAAAGAAACCTCTTTCCTTATCTTGTATAAACGTGTTTGCTATTCACATAACCCCAAGATCTTTCTTTGAGACATGTAAACTAAATGTTTGCAGTTGCTTCATTTGTAATATTTCTTTTTCCCTTTACTGCCTTCACACCAAAGGCTCCCTATTTATAGCTTAAAGACCTGCAGACTCTTGAGTTTGCAATGGTGAGAAACTAATTCTTGAAAACTTTCTTACAGTGTTGTTTTTATTATGCTTTATATATGTTAATTAATTTAGCATGTGTTCTGGTGCCACACAACTGGATCTTAACCTGTCATTTCTGGTTTAATAACATGAGTAATGAAACTGGTAAAAATAACACTTTTCAACTAATAAAAAAATAATTTACAATACGTATAGAGGGTCTCAGATAACTTTACCAGCAAATGTGATTGTTTTACCACCATCGGAAGTCAGTCATCTCCAGTGGGAAATGATGCAGCCATTAACGTTAACACATTAACACTGTGTAATAATTCACAAGCTGAATGAATTCACACACAGTACATTTCCAGCAAAGAGCCTTCAGGCAACAGAACATGACCAGCAAAATCACTGAAAGCCTAACAGATATTTTGATGGGAGTAGTTTACCTTGAAAAACTGTAATGAGGATTCACAGTCATAGAATCATTTTGGTTGGAAAAGACTGCTAAAATCATTGAATCCAACTACAAACCAAACACTAACAAGTCCAATTAAATCAAGCCCCTAAGGATCACATCTACACATTTTTCAAGTGATCTCAAAAAAAAAAAAAGGGACATTTGTTGCACATTATTTGAAAAACAGCACCTTCAATACCATAGTGTTATCTAAGGCTGTATCTAAGGACTTACAGGTTGTGGGGAAAAATATAATCTAGTAAATACAAAGTCAAATGCTCTAAGCATGCCAAGTCATTCATCCAAGCTTTCCTTATTTAAAGTCCTATTACCTCTCAGACCATTCCAAAGTACTGTACAATAAAATCTTTTGTGCAATACCTTGCTTTTTTTTTAATACACAAGGAGTAAAAGAATGTAAAAAGTACATTGCTATCAATGATAGTGATACTGTAGTATAACAGTGTGTCTGCTTTTACTATCACTGATAGCAAATAATCCCTATTACTTGAATTTTTTCCCTTTCTAACATCAATATTGGAGCTGATGATACATCCAGTTCATTCCTAATGCAGTGCTGAGTGGAAATCTTAGCTTATACAAACATTCTTTTAAAGATAAGAGGAAAATCTTGGCTTCAAGGAGGATTTCCTTAGGCTGGTCAAATTGATAAATTACAGGAGTAATAAGGAATGTAAGAAATACTGATGACACACCGTAGCACAATGTTTGCTACAACTACTAATAATTCTGCTGTAGTACTTTTAAAAAATCAATCATAACAATACTATTAGCAATTAATTGCAAATATTATTTAAAGAAAAAAGACAAGTCAAGACAACGCTCAGCATTCTTCAGCACTGGAAGGGAAGAGGCAGGACCACGCAGAGACACTGATGGGGCTCTCGTCCTCTGGAGCTGTGGCTATGCATGGAGGATGACTTAAGGAGAGATAAATTGAATAAACACTGACAAAGAAAAATTGTGGGATTCTTAATGAGGATGTATTATGGAAATTTTCACTACATACCTCAGAAACACCTTTTCAAACAATTTTACAAAAGCAAGTATAGGCATGTGGGAAAGCAGACTGTGAGTTAAAGTTTATTTCTCCATACATGGTATCCTAAACATAAAGATTCATTCTTCAGAACCAAAATTAGGTAAGCCAGTTGTAGCAACTTCCCTTGGCTTTTTCTTCACTAGCTCTCTAAATTATTCTACTTTGCTTGACAACTACCAAAGCTGCACACACTGTGCTCCAGGGAAGGACCATTCTATGTGCAGTACTCAGCACCATAAGATCTCAGATCCAACTGTTACCACAGGACAAAAAGTTTGTAATGAGAAGACTGGACATTCATAACTCTCCTGAAGAAATTAGTCTAGAGGTGGTTTGTACTAAAACATCAGTGTTTATGAAGAAAAGTTTTACTTATCTAGGATATATACTGTAGAGTAGGAAAACGGATCTGTAAAATTGGCAGATCCTTGACAGAATGGGAATGTCATAATTACTGCAATTTTAGCTTCAAATAACATGTCAACTTCTCAGATGAAAACTCATTTTTTTAAAAACCCCTTCTCCATCCATACAAGATGTGAAAGGTTCGTGGGCATTCATCATACAAGCACTTGAAACCACTTCTGCCTCTAAATTCATTTGCACTGAAATGCATGGCTCTCATTAGAGCCAGTACTGTGAAAGATGTTGATTGGACTGGAGATGAGAGAGTCACTGAAGAGCAATGACATTTGGCAAGTTCGTCTCCCATGCTTATGCTCACACCATGGTACTTGCCCTGTATCTCAAAACAGGAAAAATTCATGAAGAGTTATCAACCACTGGCAATGTAGGGTTTATTTTTACCGTCTTCAGGCTACCTCAATCCTTTCCGCTCTACAAATACTAGCACATAATGCAGTCCATACACCACATATTTTTTTAAGAGAAACATATATCACAACATGAATTTCTAGGAGAGCTTTCATTCATTGAATTTGGGGTTCTTTCAGCACTTCCGTCAAAATTTTTTTTTCATTGCCTTTTTACTTAATTGGGGAAAAGAAGATACATACAAAGAAACAATATACTATCAGAAGATGATCTATCAAATACAATTAACAAATTTGGCCTTAGACTAAAACATTTCATAAGTCATGAATAGTAAAAAATCATACCAGATGGTAGGTCATCAGAAGGAAACTCAAACAACTTGGATTTGTAAACAGAGTGGAAATGGAAGTCATCCTGTAATAGTAAATAATTGCAAGAATTAAACTGGGGAAAACTAATCCATCTCATGAGCCTTAAACAGACAATTCCAAAGGTTCTTGTTATCCAACACATATACCAGTGAATGTGCAAGTTGCAAGGCACCATTCTTCTCCTTTACCCAGCTGTAATATGATCGCTATCATCACAGTTAATCATCTTTCACTGGAAATATCTGAGTACATCAGAGTGGCTGAGCACGCTTAGAGTTAGGCTTAAGAGAGCTGCCCAGGGAGAGTCAATGAGAGTTGCAGGAGATGCTGAACTAGAGTCAAGGATGAACCAGGAGGAGACCGATGTAATGAACCCACAGCAGGAAGTGCCAGAGAAGGGCACTTTACTTCTGTTGCTGGCTCCAAGGGACCCTCATCACTCTCTGTGCTGCACTGCTTTACAGCCAAGTGTTACAGAGCACACACATATATATACTACTGCCTAATTTTTGTCTGTGATGATGGAGTCTTACATATGAGGTGAATGAGTGGAGAATGAGGGGATGATCCTTTGGTCCCTACCCTGCACCCATGGATGACTGTAGTCAACAGACACAGCAGGACTACTGTAAGTTCTACTTACATCTGGCGTGTAGTTCTCATCTGGCTCAATAAGGTAAGTATGATTTCCATCATAGAACATCCCACTGTCAAGAGCAAGAAATGTAAATACTGATTTACTAAACAAATACTGGTGCAACATGGAATTAAGTTTAAGAAGTTCATATACTTTAAAAATTTAAATATTTAGAAAAGGAAGCAGTTAAAACCGGTTTCAGGAACTGAATGCAATTTCAGATCAATCTTTTGTTTCTTCACTTCAGAAAGAAAGATTTTCTCCTGTGGTGAAGCAGACTGTTCTTTCTTACACAAACCTTCTCTACAACATAAATAAACACCAAAAAATGGACTAATTTAGCCAACTGAAAATCCAGTTCAAAGCCCCCACTCCCATGCAAGAGATATCTACCTTCAACAAATAAGTAAATGACCTGTCTTTATGAAAATGCATATTTGGAACATAAGAATAGCTCTCCTCAAACAAAAAAATGTTATTTAGTTGAATTAACCTTAGGTTTTAATGGGTTTTATTGACTCTTTCCTCAGCATTTCATTTAAAGATAGTGTTGATACTGGTATTACAGTAAGAGCATAAAATCAAAGAGTATTTCTTATATCACTACCACTCTGATCTTCAAGCAAATCAGCACATTTTTTTAATAATTTTGCCTTTATTTCAGTGGGCCACTACTAAGGTCTTTAAGCTTGGGCAAAAGTATGAACTGTGAACTCAAACTAGGCACATAGCCCTGAACAGCAGCACGAAAGCAAGATTATTTATTTATTTGCATTACTCTTAAAAACACCCAAAATAAACACTGAATTATAAACAACAAAACCAGATACTTTTCTTTTCTTTTATGCAGCAGGTTTTCCTAATCAGCAAAATTGACATTTACAGAAGTATCTTGGGTTATTGACTGTATAACATACATCAAGTGTAAGCATGAGTAATTTCTAAAATGTAAAGCTGTTTCACCATTCAAATTACCTGTGCCTACTCTTTAGAAACAAATACTGTCTACACAGCTTAGGAGAAATATTCTAGCACCTGCTGAAGCTTCTTTGCTTGGGAATAAGGTGAGGTTGGGGAATATCCTGTAGCTTTTTATCAGGCAAAATTTCCTTCTAATTGCAATTTTTGTTAAGCACAGTCTGCAAGACAAAGCTCTATCAGCAAACAGCTTCTCATGAGACTGTTGCACCCAGCAGCACTGACCTCTGATCAAGTCACTCAACAGTGACAACAATAATAGTCACAGCTGACCTATAGATCTGGCCTGTCCTCTCAAAGCGTTAATGGCTCTTTTCCAAACAACTTCAACAGCCCAGTGTGCTGTGAATAAACCCCATGGTCATGGATGTGTTAGAGAGAAATCAACACCAAAACATGGGCCATTTCAAAAACCTGCATTTTGATGATGTATAATCTTCAAACAATCAGACCTGTAGCCACGAAAGTCAAATTTGCAGCAGTAACGGCAGTTTTAACATTCACCACCAGCCGGCAGCAAAATCCCAGACCTGCCTGCTGCCTGTGCCCTCTCCTCCAAACCCAGGGCTGCCTGACTATAGCTTATTTATATCCCAGCAACCGCTGTGTTTGCATTCAAAGTCTTTTTTGTGTTAACCCATAGGAAACCGTGGTTACTGCACATCCCACAGAAAACAACAACAACAAAAATCCAAACAAAATGGCTCGCTGGAAGTTAAGGTTGCAAAGGTACCTTTGTCATTAGCAAAGTCATTAAGAGAAGACATTCATAATTTTAACTATTCTGTCAGCCAGTCATCCGATTAATTTGACTAATAAAAGGAAGCACACAAAACAGACATTACCAACAGAAGAACTTATAATTTATGATTAAAAAACCCCTACATTTTCTCACACGTATGAAAAATTCTGCTGTTACTGGCCGAGATCCAGAGGTACTAATATGCAAGAGAAAAGACTGGCATGAACTTCGAGAATATGAAGCTTGTTATTCGATTAAAGGCATCTGTTCTGTCTTATGCACTTCTTAAAATTCATGAAAGCAAATGTCCTGCCCTGTAGACCTTATCAGAAGACAACTCCTCCAAGATTCCCTTATTCCAGCGAGGCACTCCAAACTGTGGTTGAAGCGAAGGAACTCTGATTGCCAGTGTGAGTTTCTAATAATTACTTATCATTTAAATTCGACTGTGTAGGAACTAGTTGTAATGACAGAAATGCAGTGTCAGAGAACGTGAGTTTAATACAGCTCAGGAAAGCATTACTTTCTCATACTGGATGCTTGAATTACCAGCCTGCTGGAGAAAGACTGTATGAAGGATAACTCTGTTGAAACTTTATTGTAACAGGAAAAAAAAAAAGGGGGGGGAAGGTTGAGGGGGGGAAGATAACTCTCAAGAGAGAGCTCAATCACACAATTAAAAAAATGCATCATTTTTGATGCATCATTTTGACCAATTTGAATATCAGGCCATTTAAGAATACAGAGCAGCAGGATGGTCAGTCTTAAGAATAAACCCACAAAAAGAAGGCAGGGAAGGACAGATGGAGGCTCTCCTTCCTTCCTGCTTTTTCTCCTAGGAGTTAGCAGGGGCCAAGACCTAATGGATCATTGCTAATGGAAGCCATGCAGTGGCTCAGGATGCATTAGGATGCTACTATTTTTAGACTCACTGTCCATACTGAAACTGGGCTCAAGTTTCTTGAGCTGCACAGGTAAGTGCAAGGATGCAAGCCTTCTGCATCCATTCTCGCCCTTCTTAACAAAGAACATACAAGTATAAAAGAAAGATACTACTTAAATATACTACTAAATAACACTACTTAAATATATGTACTTATATGGCTGATACCAGAACTACAGAATAGCTGAAGATAGACAACAGGCTGAAGATTTCCATCAGCTAAGCCCTGTTTCTGCAGAAAAAGGCAAAGCTCACATAACCTCCACACAGATTCACTTGCTGCTGTGACTTTTCAAGCTGATCTCAGTATCAAAAGTGCTGAGATTCTGTAATTCCCAGATGCAACAGGCACTGAAGTTGCTTGGTTGCTCTGAAAACCTGACTAGCATCATTCAATAGTACCAAAAGCAGACAGGTCCAAAAGCTGTACAATCAATAACACAGCTTAATGTAACCTTCAGATGACAGATGCTTTAACTATATTATCAGTGAAATTATGAAATTCAAAGCAAAATTATTGCACCATTTTATGTCTTTCCTTCTAGATTTTTCAGGATTTTACTATATCAAAGGTATTTATTCAATGCCACAACTTAAGGCCAGCAATTATGTTTAAAAAAAAAAGCATAGTACAAAATAAACTCTAAACTGACATTTTCTTTGTAAAGAGATTAGAAAAGAAAGATAATATACATCATTGTAGCAAGAGGAAAAGACATAATTTCCAAATGGTACACTGGTATTGTTTTCATTCTTGTAGAATAGGATGTTTTCAGCTATTTCTACTCTGCTGTCTCTAATAAATTATCTTAAAACAACACCTGGCCACTGCCATAAGTACTCAGTTTGAAAAAAAAAAAAAAGGAAATTCTGAAGATTATTGAGTACTTAATACTGGTGACAAACTAGTAGGAAAATAAATACCATTTATTTTACTCTATACATATATTATTTTATTATAAATAGCTTTACTTTCCTTAAAAGAGTAATAAACAAAGTCCAGTAAAACCAAAACAGCAGACTTACTGTAATCCATGGCATGTTGACAAGGCAACAAATGATACAGGATTTCCTCGAATTTTTCCCTGATAATAGCAATGTTCTCCTCCCTGAAATTGGAAATTGAGACTGTAAATCCACAGGACATCCCACAGTATCACACACCACACTGTCAAACACTGTTTCTCCATAAACACATATCCAAGCCACTCACATGACACCAGGAATTGACTATCACTCACAAGGATGTTCATCCCTTCTCCTTTTAGCCATGCTTTTGTACTTAGATAAACACCATCCTGACACGCTACACTGAATGGAGATATTTTCAGTGTAAAATCTCTGACATCCTGAGACAGATTTCAGAGACAAATTACTGCAGAAGTGCTTATCTTTCTTCGTTGACCAGGAAGAGTTGGAAGTAGGGGGCTTAGGCTCAGCATCTGCTCTGCACATGGCTACATCGGTCAAGATGAACTCTGCTCTGAGGGTAAGGCAATTTCCTTCTTCTGAGGAGAAAGGTATTTTACCAAATAATAATCACAGAATCCCAGAATATACTGAGTTGGAAGGGACCCACAAGGATCATCGAGTCCTACCCTTAGCCCTGCACAGGACCATCCCCAAGAGTCACACCACGTGCCTGAGAGTATCATCCAAACACTTCCTGAACTCTGTCAGGCTTGGTGCTGTGACCACTTCCCTGGGGAGCCTGGTCCAGTGCCAAACCACCCTCTGGGTGAAGAACCTCTTTCTAATATCCAACCTAAACTTCCCCTTACACAACTTTAAGCCATTTCCTTGGCTCCTGTGACTGGTCACCACAGAGAAGAGATCAGTATTTGCTCCTCCTCTTCCTCTCATGAGGATGTTATGCTTCATTAAAAAAAAGAGCAAATCAGAAGTAGTCACTAGGGCAACAAAAATAATGGAAACTCTAAGTGTAACTAAGCAGTGAAGAAATACAACAAAAATGAATATTTGCCTCTTCTGCAAATAAAATATACACCTTTCAAATCAAATCCAGCAGACCCTATTCAAAAAGTCCCCCTAGTTTCACTGATAGGGATGGAAGCCCTAATGCACGTGCACCAAATCTGTTCAGTATTGGACCATGTCAATACTTGTATGCAGAATTAGAAAAAAAAATCCAAACTTCCCTTAAATTCTCACTGTCACTCTACCCTTCAGAAGAACTTACCTATTAGTGCCTTACCAAATTCAGCTATGCTGTAATGCACTAATGTTGATTAAAGGACTATGAAGGAGATTTTCAGTGCGCTTTTTTTTAAATAGTATTTATTTGCAAATACTTATTTCATCAAATGTGTGAATAGTCTACCTAGCCTAATGTGAATATTTATGTCCATTTACTGAAGAGAGGGAAAGGCATTACAATTACAACTTTTTCACAAGCCAGCAGTCACTTGTATGATGCATAGCACAGTCATTTTAGACATCTGACATTAAATGCTCTTGGATTTTATGTTTCAAACAAGAAAAAAACTTTCAAGATGAGGCAAAAGGCAAGAAAATACATAGAATTTGTAGGTAGTTTTGTATTTTGATTGGGAAGGCCTGTTCTGTTTTCTACAAGATGTGCAAACTGTTTTTGAAAGCAGCTACAAAGTATGGATGCCACTGGTTTGAGGTCCTCTCCTTAACAGAGCATAGGAGCCTGTTTATCACAGCATAGCTGCTTGCAGGGAAAGGGACTTGACCTCAGCCTGATCACTGGAAATTGCTAGTTCCTCTTCAGAATCTTCACTGGAAGGTCCATGCATGCCATGCTGCTGCCAGACCCCAAAGCACCAATGCAGCACATCTGAGGCAGCAACAGCAGCAGCACTGCAGAGAAATGCAACACCTCACCTAACAGATTACAAGTGACACTATTTGGCAGGCTTTTTCCTTCACTCAGCGAGAGAATCCCTGTGGCATAGCTTCTGTTAAGTGTTACACTTTTTTCCCTCCAGTTTCATTCCATCTCATTATTTCCTCTCTTCTACATACCACTTTTTCCTTCCACTTGCTGCAGTGACTGCAGCCAGCTCCACTGCCTATCTATCTTGGCATCTTTGCCTTTGGTACAGACACAGAACACCTTCACCAAACTGACCTGTACAGTAACCACCATGATGCCCATCATGGGCACCTCTCTGCTCAGATGTCTGAAAGAAAACTGGTGCCACACAGGTAATGTTCTGTCTCATGTTGGTGAGAAGCTCTGGGGCTGACCTGCACCAGGCTACAACGGGGTGTCTGGCAGAAGGTGTAAAACCCATCACCCTTGGACCAGCATTTCTCAGGACTAAAAAGGGTTTGGGACACAGACCTAGTACAGTGAAAAGGAGGTGGTTTGAGTTTCTGCTTTGCATTCACATGCATTTCCGCCACCAACATCCCAAGTTACATTAGATTTCAGACCCTACATTATTTTTGCTGAAACCTTGGCTTATTTTCTCCATTTTATTCTCCTTTTTTACACCTATTTACTTCTATATCTTAGCTACCTATAGCTCTCTTCATTTGAGATTTTCTCTCTTTCAATCTGTAGGGTGTCCCCCACTACAGGATCATGAGACTGCTTAAGGCTTTCAGGTCTTTTTGGAATGTATGAATAAGAAGTAAACGAAGAGAAACTCCAATAAGCAAATAACAAAATTAACAATCAGAATTTTGTGCATGATCTAAAACCTAATGACTAATAAAATGCTCTCTAAAGAGAATTCTTGCAGCAGTATTCCTGTAAAAGATATAACTGGAATAAGTGCATGAATATGGGAATAATGTTGAAAAGACTATCAGTACGGAGTTGTAGAGAGTTCTAGCTGTGGAAGGATTTTGGAGTAATTACACAAATTGGTTTGTTCTCAGAAAATGTAGCTAATATGTACCAGAAATAGAATCTCAGGCTCCATTAGTTTGCAAAACCATGTTTTTGCAAACAGGAGGAGCATTTTTTCATACTAAGAATCCAGTCTGTGGCTCAAAAGTGTGTTTTGATCTTCTTAATGAGAATCAAATAAATGCCCCATGGCAGTACCTCCAAATTAATTTATTCTGTAATAAATCCATGGGAAAAAATTTACACATACAGATCTAGAAAAGAAAAATATAAGAAAAACATCTCTAAATTCTTGCCTGGGAAAAATATAACTCAGACACACAACTTCAATCAAATCAATTCAACTCAACTCTTTGATCTACTAAAGTTCATGGTAGTTCTGGTGGAGACAGAAACACAATTGTGATCTCAGTCTGAGGGACCAATTCTTATCACTACAAAACATTCACTTCTATATGCTGTCATAAGGGATATTTTTTATGTATGTACTTATGTTCCTATCACCATAATGTAAGTTCCTTCAAACCAGTTAATAAAATCAACTTCAGTTAATAAAATTTAACTTCATTTCTTCAAATGAAAATAGGTTTTTTTCAAGTACTTAATGCATTAGTGGTGTGTTGGTTTCTTTCTGAAGAGAACTCTTCAGCATAAGAAATCCTGCTATGAGGATAGTCCTAAGTGAAGTTCTGAGGATTTTTATAATCTCAGCAAGAAAGTAGGAGGTGATGCAGTGACATCAGATGGCATAAGCACTGGATGGCTCTGAGAACAGTGATTACTTAGCACTCCTTACTATGAGAAATAAAATAATCCGGTTTTATTATAAGTAAATTTATTTAAGTGGGAAACAGGGGGTGTTGGGATTTTTTTTCTTACCTCCCATTTAATTTCGGGAATATTTAGGCGCCTCGTGAAGATTGCAAGGTGAAAGGCCCCGTCAGGGCTGCACGCCGAGGGAATATTGCGGTCGAGGTAGGATACAATATATAGATGGAAAATTTACACCGGCCACATGTCTTTGTGTGCAAAAAGAACCCCCACTGTGCGGTACAGGGGGGTACATCATCAATCAATCAATCGGTACAGGGGGGCCCCCTGTACAGTACAGGGGGGTACGTCATGATCCAATCAGGCGGGACCAATCAGGCGGGAGGGTGACACCCACCCGCCGATTTGAAAATTACCCTTTAAGGTAAAATACCTGTTACCTGCTGAATATTCAAGATATTGGGTAGCCGAAGAGTACAAAAGGAGCGTGCTTTTCGAGGGGGGTGTGCTTTTCCAGGCGGGTGGCTTGGGACTGCACCCAGCGCTGCAAATAAAGGATTCTCTTCTGTAAGTTTCCTTGTCCTGCAAGTGTTTTTTGCCGTTTTATAAATTGGTAAAAGAGATTTTTCTCACACTTACCATGTATCAAGTGGACAAAACATGCCAGTAACATGTAGCATGTGGTGGGAAGGGTATAAATTGTATATTGTCTATAGGGAAGACTCATTTTCAACAGTTCATAAAATCGGTGAAGAGTGAAGCACTTAAAGCTACAAATTCTGAGACTGGAAATGTTGAAGAAACCACCAGATGTGGCACTTAGTTCTGTGGTTTTGTTGGCATAGTGGTGTTTGGTTAAAGGTCGGACCCAATGACCTTGGAGGTCTCTTCCAACCTTAATGAGTCTATGATTCTATGGTTCTGTACTGAGAGTCAGGGACCCTACAGGTCAATGTTTTCTTTAGAGCACATGCAACTTTGGACAAGAAGTTTACTGTCATTGCCTTCCTGTACTGCTGAGGCTGAAATTATGTTGGGTTTGACATGTACTAAAGCTCTTTTATAGCAAGTGCTGTAAAAAAATACACTGTACTAGAGGAGGAATCACAGTATATGGGAGATGTAAGACCACTAAAGGACTAAATGTAATCATTATATCTCTCTTCTTTTCCTCTGCTCTTGGAACCACTCCCTAAGGACTGGGGTTTTCTCTCTTCTCTGTTGCTATCTGTAGCAGTGAGATAGAAGCTGAAAAAAAGATCTTAATTTTTTTCCTAAAAATATGCTGGTCTCATATGAAAATTAAGACTTCCCCCAGAGGGAAGAGTTGAAATTAGCATCAACAGCAGTTCAGTCCAGAATATCAAGGGTGTTTTGTGAAGAGCTATTGGCTTCCTGTAGCTATTAGAATGTCTCTCTGCTCTCTCAAAAGCAGGCAATAATTGCCCATCTCAGCAAATCAAACCTCCACACCGGCCTTTGTCAGCTACT